GTTAGTAGGGCTTAGAACCTTTGGGAAGGAAAGCAACATGATCCCCTTTATGAATATGGGCACCAATCTCTAAGACACTAAGAAACCCAAACCATTCAAAGCAAAACAGACCCTACCGCATTGATTCAGAAGGGCTTCGGGCTACAGAGCTCAGGACGAGGTACCAACTCTACATCCACCGGATCGAGCCAAGCACCGGAAGGACGGTTGCATCAATCGACTATGCAAGCCTGAATTCATCATCCGGGACACCCGCATGGACTTATGGACCCGAACCCCGAAAAAGCTATGAAAATCCCAAATGCCCCAGATCCCACGACCGGAAGGCATCATTACAGTCCCTAGACACCTCAAAACCCAACTCGAGTCATGAGACTCCCTCGGTACCCTAAGACCATTTCCTCAACAGCCTTACAACAAAAAATCAAAAAAAACTTGCACCAGAGTGAGCCCGAAACCCCAAACTGTAGAGCCATAGACCCAAAAAGTTGCAGCTGGCCTCAGAGAAGCTGCGCCCGGCGCCGGCCGCGAAGCGTTTGCCATCGTCCGGAGCACACCGGTTTGGGGCCCTAAAGGGCTCCCGGTTTGAGGGCTCCGGGGTTTGAGAAACTTCGGGGTTAAAGGATAAGGATCCAGGGGTTAGGGCTTTATCGTTCAGGGTTGAGGGCTCAAGGCTTGCGAGTTTAGACTTAGGGTTTGGGGGTTCTGGCGGGGGGGTAGGGTGTTTCGGGGCAAGGGGCTATTAGCCATCATTAGCCTTGCAATTTTTGGACATTGGGTGAACCCTACAAGCAGTAGTCATGTGCCAGTGCCGTTGGTGGGGCTCCGAGTTTTGCTGCCTTTGTCGTCACTCGGCGGTGCTGCTGGGTTCTCGAAGACGAACACATCGAGGGCGCGATGAACAGCATCCCCATGCCATGCCAGGCCTAGACACCCAAACTCTCAGTCTCCCGTCCTAAAGCCGAAGCCTAAGCCATCGATCCCGAAAGCCTACACCCCAAACCGCAAAATGCCCTCTGAACCCCAAAACATCCACAACCACGAAACTCAAACGTCTACAGCCTCCCAACAGGCACAACCGAAAGAAAAGCAGGGCCTTGAACCTTGTCGACCCAAAATGAGCGAGGTTTCGAAAACCTACACTCTAGACTCTAGACTGAGCTCATGTTAAAGGTCCTGGGGGTGGGGTTTAGGGTTTGGGATTCTAGTTCAAGCTGCCACCTTAGGGACAGCGTATGCTTCACTGTAGATCCGCAATATGGTAACATAAACCACGTGCAGATCCCAGTACCACTTGCTTGCGATACACTGCTACAAGTCTTGCGAAGGCTTAAAGTAACTATGGCGAACTGAGTTGGTAAACCCCACTCCCTAAGCCCGAAACCCTGAACCGCAAACCCAAGCCCCAAGGCTTGAACCTAAACCCTACAAGCTAGACCAGCCCCAACACTCTGCAGCTCCGCCCCACCTTAAACCGTTTGTGCAAGAACCGAGTAAGCCGTCAAAATCCAACTTGTTGAAGAACCCGTGTTCATAGCCGTATGAATGCCCGATAAAGCAAGCCCCGTCGAAGTACTCGTTCCAAAGCCCTCTATCTGCTGTCTATCCGGAACTCCCCACAGCGCAAGTTGCAAGGACCACAGCTGGTAAGGGTTGCATTTTGGCTTTGCTGCTTCATGGTGTTGGGGTTTTAAGCTTTAGGCGTCTGGATTCGAGGCTTGCAATCGTGAATCTATCCCTAAACTTTGCAGCCCCCTAGAACCCAAACCCTCAAAGCACGATCTCGAAATGAAGCACTAACTGCCTAACTGCGCTCCTGCTACTGTGGTGAAGCGATCGTTAGTGACAGTTGCTGCTAGTGCTGCTGGGGCAGCTGGTGCTGCTGGTGCTACTTGTGCTGCTGGTGCTGCTGCAGTTGCGGCCGGGGTGACAGCAGGGTTGGTGAAGCCGGCGGCAGCAGCGGCAGCAGCAGCGGCAGCAGGTGCAGTCGTGCACTCGGAGGAAAACGCTGCTGGAAAATGGTGCAAGAGCAACAGCAGGAGAAGCTCTCCGGCTTTTCACGACCTCGGGCAGCTGTTCTTGACCGTACACTTACGTGCCTTCAGCACCTGTACGTCGACGGATTCCGAATTTTGGGGTAGATGAAACTCTGAGCTCTGAGTGATCAACCACACTCCCTGAAACGTCTGACGCCCACGAAGCCTCAGAGCTTCGGCTTTTAGGTTCTGAGGGACATCTTCGAACCATTCTTAAACATTGGTCCTAGAATACGCTGGCGCCGGGCAACTAGCCGATCTCTAGAAGCCTAGAAGCCAACTGCCAAGCTGCTAAGCCCTACATCCCAACAGCCCCATACCCCCCTAGGGTCGTCTAAGCCTTCTAAGCTCCTGGAAGACCCCTATACCTAACCTAAAATCCCGAAACGACAAGACACGGAACCCCGAGATCTTTATCAGAGCTCCCGCAAACCCCAAAACTCTGGAAGCCCTAAACACTAAACACCCCCCACAAATGCCCTAGCAAATAATGGGGCAGCAGGACGAGAGTTCCGGGCGTCTGGGCCATCTTCCAATCAGTGCCGGAGCCAAGATTTCGCTCTCACGAACTTCTCTGGCGTTTCAGGATGTATACGTATGAAGATTGGGATTGTTTGCTTGAAAGCTCCTTCAGGATCTAGGGTTTAGGGCTGAGGGTTTGGAGTTCGCGGCGTAGCTTTTATCGTAGCAAGACTGGCAGAACTCATAGTCGCAAAGGCAGTGTTGTGCTGAACATGATGATAGACACCAAGACTGGCAATGCTAGGAGACATGTTACGGAGCATAACGATAGCCAACGATGGTAGCAGAAGCAATGCAACCATACGTCATCATCGTTGTCAACGAAAACATCGTCATAGTGGTCGTAACATAACCGTGATACAAGAAATCCTTGCAGTAGAAACGCTTTGCGATCTTTGCGGCCAGGCATTCCAGGGCGCTTTGATTGAAAGTGCATTGGAGTAGTATGGAGTAGTGACTCGTGATAGTAAGAGTCATGAGTAAAAGTATGTAACTAGACATGAACAATCCAACATAAGAGGCCCACTCTGGACTCCCTACCTGCATTGCCCTGACGGTTTCTAACATGGCTCTTGCCGCCCAACTGGCGACAATGCCAAGGAAGCAAACTCAGCAAGGACTGAGACACGACTGAAATGAGATGCCGCGAAAGGGCATTCAATCAAGGCGAGCTTTGTAAGCCATAAACCCTACATCCTACAGTGTACCCTAAACCAAACTGAACCCGAGACCCTGAACCCAAGACCCTAAACCCCAAACTCTAAACGGATGAATGCCCTGGTCAGCCGACGCCTACTCAGTCGCGGGACCGGACGTGTCATTTCTGCGTACGCATCATGTCCGTGATCAGATCCTCACCAAACACACATTCTGGGCTGTGGTGTCGGGTTTGGGGATGTGTAAGACCAAAAGCAAGGCTTCAGTGCCCCTCTACCGCAGATATGCTGCCAGGAACCGCAGGGCCTGAAAGACTCGAAAAAGCTCTCGACCGACGTGCGAGCTTGAGCGACTTTACCCGGCCCAAACTCCGCAACAGAAAACATGTGCAGACCAAGATCTCTTCCGCACACCACCAGATCCCAGAAGCCGTAGCCCAGAATTCCATGGGCCGTCAGCACACCTCGATCAAGAGTTTCGGGCTTAGGGTCGAGGGTTGACCTTTGGGTTTCGGTTTCAGGCTTCTGGAATTTTGGGATGCACGGTTCGGGATTTTTGAGTTCGGAACGTGCGCCTCAACCCGGAAACCCGAAAGAACGATTACCACTCGCACACGCCCCACTGCACATAACCTTCCATCCCTTGATCCGCTGGTTGATGCCAGATTTCCTAGCAAGTGTTCTTACACATCCCACGCAAGTTCCACCATGGCAAGAGAGGGGCGTATCGGTTCGGGCTGCAAGCTGTACGACTGTATGAATGTTGAGACTGCTCAAGTGAATTATGCAATCGTGCTGACAGACGCAACCCAAAGCCTATGGGCATCTCCATTCGCGTACCCAAGAAGAGTTTGGGTGCAAGACACACCGCATGCAGACAAATGCTGCCAGACTTCATTTCTTGTCTGCCGCATGCCAGTAGCAGGCCTTGCACCCGTCTGCCAGAGCAGCACGACTCGTGGCTTCAGGGCCCAGCGCCAACAACGACCAGCGACGACTGTGGGGTTGTCAAATGAGCCATCCATCACGCTATCATGAACAGATTTCTGCAGCTACGGTCCGATACCGATAACGAGCATGGTGGACCACAGCTTGCATCGATGGCAACAAGCCAAATTGCAAAATTGCGCACTAGAAATGTCTAAGCAAGCAGAAAGGGGCCATGGGCAAGACATGCCGATGTCATCATTCACCAGCAGTCTGCTTTCTGCTCCTCATGACACGCAGCTAGAACTAGCAGACAGCAGATAGAGACTGCTGGATCCTCTCTCGGCCTCCCTGCACTGTACATGAATGGAAAACATCTCATGTCGGAGCTCTACCTCGCGGCCCCTCCACCAGGGCAACACGACCCGTGGCTTCCGGACGACGAGGTACCCGCTGCTCGGTGCGAATTCCGGTGGCGCTGCTTCCAGTACCACAGACAGACATCCAGCGGAGGCCGCTTCGGGTTCAGAACCGTTATTGGAGCCAGAGAGGGCATGTAAGTAAAGCTAGAAGTAGAGCTAGGAAGTCGCCGCTTGTCCGTGACTAGAACATGCATCATAAACAGATTTAATAGAAGCGGATTTGTGCAATGTGACTGTGTCTGAAATCATGCTTCGATGCGAGCGCATTCTCTTGTGATTTCTTACGCAATGTAAGATATCCACTTTACATGGGTGCTTCGCCATGTGCATAAGTGTAACGGAACAACTTCTAACAAAAAGTCATAAAATCAAGCTTTCTGGCTTTGTCACGAGGATGACACCTTCCTCATCTCATCACAAGGGCAAACTCTCAGCGATCAAGCCATCCCTGCATAGACGGGGTAGCCAGCGCTGGAATCTGTTTGGACACCGCCCTCCACCACGAGCAAGGGCTCGTCTTCTTCCTCCTCATCCATGCGCAGAGTCTCGCGGCGGAGCTTGGGACGAACCTTGCGCGGGATCGCGTGGTTGAAGGCATCTTTGATAAGCTCGCCATCCGACTCCATCGCCAGCAGATGCAACTTCCCCATCTCGTACAAGTTCCCTCAAGTTCGGCAGTGGCTGAAAGCACTCGAAAGATCACAGTAATTGCTATTGCATGAACAAACATGCAGCATTGAAAAGACACATGGAGCAAATTTAAGAAATCTCCGACTCCAAACCGTATTACGTGGTGACCTCCGGAAAAATATTACGTCTTTGTGCTCGAGCGGCCCTCCTGTGCTTGCTCTAGCTCTTGCAGCTGCGGCTGGGTCAAAGGCACGAAGAGGGCCCTTGCGGGTGACCACTCGGGTCTGACTTCACAGCCGGCCTCAAGCACACGCCGGTGCAAGGACCACAACGGCCCGGTCGCATCGAAGAGGATGGCATCGACTTCCTCCGCATTGGCCTTGCGAGTGATCCGGAAGATCACCACACCGTCGCCACTCAGCGGAGGATGTGGATTCTCACTCTTGCTGTTTCTTATGGCCACGAGGAGATCGCTGGTGGAGTGCTGGTCAGGACCACTTTCCTTCTCTGCTGTGCTAGCAGGTTGTGTTGGTGCTACCTGCGGACTCTCAGGATCCTGGTGCTCTGACTTCTCCCACCAGGGGCCCAGGGAAGGAAGCTCCGCCGCGCGCCCCTCGAGGGCCTGCAGAAGTGATGGTCGGTGTGCTGCGAAAGTCAACACCAAATTCACCATCGCCGCTGGCACGGACTTCCCGCGGGACCAGGTGCGCATGGTCTGAAAGAGCCCGAAGCCTGCAAAGCTTGCGGCCCGTCGGAAGGACGCCTGCAGCGCTGCACGAAGGGCCTCGGCTGCGGCAGCCTGGCGCTCCGAGATGCGACCTGTGTGTATTTCCCTCGAGGTAGAGTACCAGGTAGAGTGACCGCGGCGGCACGGATAGTCCTCCCACGCAGGCCGCTCTTCCAGGCTCGCCTGCACTGTAAAGATTGTCGCCTCGATGTCCATCGGACCGCAGAGTCGGCAACAATCGGTTTGACCAAACAGGATCGCCAGGTCCAGCAATGAGAGTGTGGAAAAGCGCCTGAAAGGGCGCAGCTCAAAGGTGCCCAGCGCAAGCCCCGCCCTTTCGGCTAGTTGCATCCGCTCCGAGTTCAGCCTGACTTGGCCGCCGCAGCGCTCCAGGAGGAAACGGGCCATCTCGTTTCCTTTTGTGTGCTTTGGCCAAGGCCCGAGCTGCGGTTGAAGGCCTTCGACTCGGCACCAGAGCTCCGTATCGCCGGAAAGCACGATGGCTTCCGCCAGCGAGACGTGCTTGCACGAATCGGGCTGGCGCCAGGGATCATACGGCGGCTCGGGATATTCTACAGTGAGATGCCCGAGCTTCAGGCCGGCGGCGAAAGCTGCAATCAGGATGTCTTTCTCCCGGATCTCTGCTCGAAGACTCGGTTCATGTTCATGTCCGGTAATCCTACAAAATGCCCGGAATCTCCAGCACCTCAGCGGGAGACAGGTACAGTGCTTGAAGCAGTCTCTGGCAAGCTCGGCATCGCCCAGGAGGATAGCAACGTCTAGGAGGTAGGCCATTGCCTCATCCGTGACGATTCCTGAGCAACCTGCCTGGGAGCGGCAGGCCTCAAGCAAAGTGCGAAGCAATGGCATCGCAGCTGCTCTTTCCGCCGCGTTCTTGGCATCCCGGAGGTGTGCATCCCAATCCTCCATCCGCAGATCCCGCCCTCGGGAAGTACCCCAGTAATTGTGGCAATCGGGATGATCTTCGAAAGGATCGTAGTCTTCTGCTGGCCCGCAAGCAGGTGTAGAAGCAGGAGGCGGCAAGCTGCCAGGACCTTTGAACACGCACCCTGGCACTCCATGTGAAATCATCGCTGCCGCTGTGCTCTGGCGGCCGAATCGGAGGCACACGTCGAAGAGGTGCTCGGCGTCAACTTCCTGGCTCAGGAGCTCCGCCTCTCCTGCCAGAAGAGCCTTCGCCACCTGGAAGTCGTCTACATCCACGATCTGCCCATCCTTGCCACGGTGGACGAGCTTCTCCATGGCAAGAAGAGGCCGCTAGATGCTGCTGTGCTCTGCAACTCGAACAACAACACGCAGAATTGCTCATGCTGTCGTAGACACCTGATCCCTTCTTTCACAATTGAAACTTAGGTTGTACAAGGACTCAGGGCTTCTAAGATGTAGGTGTTAACGTGCCTGCTGCAAGTCAGCACTGTGAGTGCGGCTTCAGACACCCACATGCCCCGAAGCCCGATTCCCCCCAGCCTCCCATCAACGCCCCGGCGAAACCGTTGGTTGTCACATCCTTCAGGGGCGAAGTTGTTGCATTCCAATCCTCTTAGAAACCCCTCCCGCAGCAAACCCAAAACTCTACACCTCCAGGCCCAAGAAGTCCCGGCGTGCCCGGAACGGCGAAGCCCTGAGATCGTCCTGGCCAGTCATCCACATACCCTCCACACCAGCTAGACGTCCAGGCCGCAGTCCTTCCGAAACCTCCGACTGAGCCAAAAATTACAAAAGTGTAGGCCCAGGCAACTACAGGCGACGTCTTGAAATGATCAAGCTCCTGTGTGGCCTTTTTTGTGTTCCGCGGATAGCGGATGTGTCGTGTTTCTGCTGTTTTGGGGTTTCGGGTTCAGGAGCTGGCATTTAGGAGTTTTGGTCTCTACAGTTGCTGATAAATTCACGGGTCAAGGTAGCTTCAGGGCTAGCCCATGCAAACCGTTTCATCCGTGAACCCTAAACCCCGAAACCCCGAAGCCGTTCAACCCTGAACCCTGAACCCTAGACTTTAAACCCTAAACTCTCAACCCTGGACCCTAAGCCCCGAAACCCTGAAGCCGAAATTCTGCCGGGCCGCGGTGTAGCGGCTGGGTGGGTGCTGGAGGCCGTAGCTGGCCGCACGGTTCAGGTAGTGCATGTTCGACAGAGGGCTCCCCATCTCCACGTACTCGACCTGTTCAGGGTGCTAAGGCTTTAGGGCGTTCTGGGATTCAGGGCTCTAGGGATCTAGCCTATACGGGGTCTAGAAGTTTAGGAGTTTGGGGTTCCAGGGGTTAAGGGGTTTAGGGTCTAGGCTGCTGCCCTGGCTTGCCTTGCCCTCAAGCTGCGGAAAGTGCTTCAGAAGGCCCTTCACCATTCCCTCCTCATCGCGATGGTCAGAAGAAATGGCATGTACTGGAGCAGTGGCGACAAAGATGTCAACTAGTGACAGAAGGACTATTAGAAGTAGAACAAGCCATTGCTGTCTCAAAGGTCTTGCAGAAGACCCAGCAGAAAGTACATGAAAGGAAGAGATGCGACTCCTCAGTGGGAAATGGCACGTGCAGAAGATGCCTCTTTACTGCGATCACTACCCTTCCTCTTGGTAGTGTCACTCCTGTTCTTGTTCGCATCATCATTGTCTCAGTCATCAGCCACAAATAATGTCATCGTGGACTTCGGCTCTCCTGGAGTACATTTGATGTTCATTGCTGTTGCTGCTGCTGCCGACGTCGTTCTTTACAATCATGTTTAGGGCTTAGGGTTTAGGGACATGTCACGGAATACAAAATGATATGAATACTGCTACTTACTCATTCTTGACCTCTACTATAGTAGGATTATATGGCAGCTGTCCGGTGATTTGTCCTTGCCATCACATTGCTAAGGCCCCACAGCGTCCTCGAATCGCTTCTTCAGCTGCTCATAGTCGGCACCCCTCTTGCCCTGCTTGGCATCCCTCCATTTGCTGAACCACTCCTCTTTGGCCTGGTCAGACGACGGGGTCTATAAGGGGTACACAGAAGCCCTTACGATGTAAGAGCTCCGGGTTCATGAATCGGACGGTTGGGGTTGCTTTGGAGGTTTTGGAGCTCGTTGAGGATGTTTTGGCTTGGGTCCTGTAGCTTCGGACCAAGCACCGCAGAAATGTATACAGTATGGTTGGTTTCCGGGTGAAGGTTTAGGAATTATAGGGCCGGGGTACGGTGTCGGGTACCCCGGGATCCTAAACCCATCACTCCGAGAAGCAGACTTGGAGGTCCGGGCACCTAGCATATAAGACTGTCCCCATGGTGTCCTGTTATCCTTACGTAGACAACACTGAACCCGAAAACCCTGATCGAATTCTTAAGACTCTTATCATTCATCCTACCCTTGTTAAACATTGCTAAGCTGCTATAATTTTTCCAAATATTCAATCTATTTCCTAAGCCCCCGGTAGTAGGAACACTTGAATCACTTGAGGCCTCCGTGATGATCACGCACGTACTTTTCCCCGGATGCCTTGCCGCTGCCTCCGGATCCTGCACAGATTTCGCATTCAGCTTTAGAGGCCTCGTGTAAGGATTTACAGTTTGAGGTTTGACGGTTGAGGGCATTGGCGGATGGGGTTTCAGGCCTATTGTTCCAGAGAAAGGATTGCATCCCCAAATCTCTGAATGCAAATTCTCCCATGACAAGGAACACTAGAACAGGCCTTAGGTCATAGGGACCCCTCGCGGAGTAGGGGGAGGGGGGTAGAGGACTAGACTCCCTTACATAAGCCTTATGAGCTTTCAGGCCCCCTACCCCCCTCCCCCCTAAGGGTCCCTATGATTAGGAGTTCAGGCATGGGGCCTCTAGTGTAGGAGAGCTTTGGAGCTGGCGGCGCCCTAAACCCTAATCAATCCCCAAACCCCAAACCCTCCAGCCTAAACTAAACGTTAAGCCAGAAACCCCAAACCCGAGACCCTAAACCCTCGAACCCGAAACCCTAAACCCAATGTCCTTGGCAGAAGGGAAGCCAACGAAAAGCAGTAGGGAGCCTGAGTCGACCATGGGCCAAGGATCGGCGTAGTACCTGCAGCCAGGGGCCACGAAGTTCGGGTTTGGTGTAGGGTTTGGGTTTTAGGCATAAGGTTGCTTTTCTTTTTTTGGGGGGGGCCTTTTCCGTCTATACAGTTTAAGATTTAGGGTTTAAAACAGAATCAGAGCCCTGGTCGTACATACCTGCGGGTAGTCAGGTACGAGCTACCCTAGGTTGGGGTCTGGGCTTTGAACTGCTTGGGGAGATCCGAAATCGGCCACATTTCCCAAAAATCGACTCAACTTCATCCCGGTTTCGGGGTTTAGGGTTAGGGCAGGGGGATTGAGGGATCAAGACGTCAGGGGATTAGACTTTCGAAGCCCCGATCCCTGCAACAAGGTACCAGAACTTAGGCCTTGGCTAGGGTTTAGGGTTTAGGGTTTAGGGTTTAGGGTTTAGGGTTTAAGGTTTAGGGTTTAGGGTTTAGGGTTTAGGGGGGCTCGGGCTGGGATCAGGGAGCATTCCATATACTTGGGAGTTTCAAAGAGCAGCTTGAAAGCCACTGAGGAAGAACATAGGCATTAGTCCGAAGAGGGGTCCTTTGAAAGGGTATCCCAACTTTGAACCACGTACAAAAACCCAAAGGCCAAAACTCTGAGTTTGAACTAAGCAGCACACCCGTATCAAAAAAAATGTAAAAAGCCTCTAGAACCCGCCTCAAGGCACCCTGGCTCAGCAGACGTGCGTCCTGCAAGGCAACCTACAAAAAGTACGTACAGCGCGGCACCCTCGCAAGGATGCCCTGCCCCGACGAGACCCCAGTCTCGTTTACATAAGGAGTACTCCCTGAAGTAAAGTACAGATCCGTGATAAGGAATCCCTGTCTATGGGATATCCCGGTAGCTTATGATAACACGGAGCCCTTGATTCAGGGAATATTGGAGTCTCCCCCACCTTTCCATGTCCCTCTCGATGTTCGGAGAAGGCAAAGCCCAGAGGTTTGATGAACTCAGCTCCAGCTCCTGAAATTGGGAGGCTTTCAAGGCTCTATGGTTTCAAAGGCTTTTAACATTGGGGCCCCAACTATGCGGGTCAGGTGCTGGGTACAGTCTGCCCTAGTCTATCCCTACTGTAAAGAAGCAATGTCACTACATATTCTTCTATACTACGTGATTTGGAGTTCGGCGGGTTTCGGCTTTCAGGGCAGTAAGGCTTTACAAGTCTACAGTAGATTTCGGGGGATGAGGTTGGAGGATGGAGAGCTTAGTTTTTGGGTCTCGTTCGTGTTTAGGACACCAAGCTGACGGTCGACTGCCGTTTGGCAAGGCCCTATGGATGAAAATGAAAGCTGCGTGCTTCAGGTCACAGCGCAAAGAAGCCCGATTCCTGCGTATTGAGCTGTATTCCCTTGATTCGGGAACCTACTTATCTGAGAACTCGTTCTTCACCCCCCTGCAGTTCCCTTCCGATTTAAGGACCCCCATAGCTGAAGACCTCAGAGGTGCCGCAAGCGGAAGGGCGCCGTCCATTTTCGACTCTCTGGCAGATCCTCCGTTCATACTACGTAGAAGCCAGAAAGTTGGAATATCATTATCGTAACCCCTTTAAGGTAAATTATAGGGGATCCTACCATTAATCCATATTCCAACTTTCTGGAGTGCCCTTTAAACCTCAATTTTGGGTTTTCGGCTCTAGGGCTCGCAAAACAAAGGATGGCAGCACAACCACGCCAGCCAACGCAACCCAGGGCCCCAGCTTCGAGATCGCACTTTGCTTGTTTGCCGAAGCCTTGTTATGAACCACTTGTACAATCAAGTTGTACCTGTAATCTCGGATGCTAACCTTCCGCGCATACTTTGGGCTGAACTTCCTCCACAGCATGCCCCTCGTCGCTGAAGGCGGTGGTCAAGACGTCACGCTCGAGCGTTGCGAACATCATCATTCGGGCTTCAATCTTCGACCTCGCCTCCGTTAGAGTTGACTTCTCCTTCACACTCTTGTCGGAGATCCAGATCGAGAGTTGGGTCCTGTCACGCTGAAGCTTCTTGATGCAGGTCTTCATGTGCTCCCCGCACTTCTCACGTTGGTTCGGCTGGCTTGCACGCCTGCGATTCTCCATCAGCTCGTCGAACTCTGTGATCCCCAGTTCCAACTTTTTCAGCATCGCCTCGATGTCGCGCAGTTGTCTCACAGCTGCTACCGTGGAGACGCCTGCTGCCGAGGCTCCCCTGGAACTGGGGCGATCAATACCATCATGCACGCAAGGCTGGACTCCTCCCTTGGCGCATACGGTGGGTTGAACTTGCTCCACAGCATGCCCCTCGTCGCTGAAGGCGGTGGTCAAGACGTCACGCTCGAGCGTTGCGAACATCATCATTCGGGCTTCAATCTTCGACCTCGCCTCCGTTAGAGTTGACTTCTCCTTCACACTCTTGTCGGAGATCCAGATCGAGAGTTGGGTCCTGTCACGCTGAAGCTTCTTGATGCAGGTCTTCATGTGCTCCCCGCACTTCTCACGTTGGTTCGGCTGGCTTGCACGCCTGTGATTCTCCATCAGCTCGTCGAACTCTGTGATCCCCAGTTCCAACTTTTTCAGCATCGCCTCGATGTCGCGCAGTTGTCTCACAGCTGCTACCGTGGAGACGCCTGCTGCCGAGGCTCCCCTGGAACTGGGGCGATCAATACCATCATGCACGCAAGGCTGGACTCCTCCCTTGGCGCATACGGTGGGTTGAACTTGCTCCACAGCATGCCCCTCGTCGCTGAAGGCGGTGGTCAAGACGTCACGCTCGAGCGTTGCGAACATCATCATTCGGGCTTCAATCTTCGACCTCGCCTCCGTTAGAGTTGACTTCTCCTTCACACTCTTGTCGGAGATCCAGATCGAGAGTTGGGTCCTGTCACGCTGAAGCTTCTTGATGCAGGTCTTCATGTGCTCCCCGCACTTCTCACGTTGGTTCGGCTGGCTTGCACGCCTGCGATTCTCCATCAGCTCGTCGAACTCTGTGATCCCCAGTTCCAACTTTTTCAGCATCGCCTCGATGTCGCGCAGTTGTCTCACAGCTGCTACCATGGTCCAAGTCGCTACCACGGGATTGGGGCAGCTGGTCTTGACACAAGGCTCAAGCATCTTGGGTCTGAGGTGATGCTGACTCTCGGTCGTAAGCAAACCAAAAGCCAAAACCCTCGTGACCCTAGCCATATTTCATCGAATGTTTGAGGGCTCCAACAAACTCGAGCCCCAAAACACCTAAACCCTTCAAAAACTAAAGCCCCGAACCCCTACAGACCACCAAAACGCCTCAAGCCTTAGCCGAAGTCCCTCCTCTGCAGTGCCATGGAGGCCAAGGAAGGCATACATGTGGCTGATGCCTCCCTGCAGCTTCCTTGGGATGGCACAACGTTGGAGCTTTAAACCCCAAACTTTAAACCTAAACCCTAAACCCTATTCTAGATCCTAGGACCCTCAGTGGCCTTGGTTCAGACTTAAAGGGGCAGGGGCTTGAATCTACAAAAGAGTTCCGTCGTTCCAGATTACGCAAGGGCTTTTTTGTATGTCTCAAGGGGCCTTGAGTGGTTAGTACGTCAGGCTTTCGTGGGCAAAAGTTCGGCACTTCGGGGCTCAGAGCAGTGGCGAATTCAATTGCTGCTATGATACAATACTCTGTGATTCTGGTATTTGTGCCGTTGAGCTGACTCTACTCAGACTCCGAACCTTGCAGCTGGGTCACTGGGGCGGGGTATACTGTGGGAAGAACTTCGACGTAGCCTCCGCGCCGGCAGCGGACACCACCATGGGCGCCTCTTTGCGCTCAAGGGACGCAGGGTTCAGCAGATTCAGGGGTTTCGGGGGCTTTGAGGCTTAGGCGGAAGGGGTTGCCGGTTGCCTCCACTCCAAGATTCTCTGCCCTGAAGCGTCGATGAATTCAAGCTAAAGCCTAAACCCTGACCGAAACCGAAGCCCAACCCGAAACCCCAGAAACCCCGAAACCCTAAACACTAAACTCTCAACCCAAGAATCCTAAGCCTCCGAAAACCCCCAGCCCTGGGACCGAAAGACCCCAACAGCCCTAAACGCAAGCACCGCCAAAAGAACGTGTTTGGAAGTGTCGGGCTTGGGACTCCGTGATCTTGGGCTGATGGCCCCTGGGGTCTTTAGAGTTCAACAGCTTCGGGGTTCCTGGCCTCGGGGTTTAGGGCTCGAGCTTTCAGAATTCAGAACTGTTCCGACTTTTTGAGCAAGAAGGACCATGACCAATTTGGGTGTAGGGTTAGAGTTTAGGGTCTAGGGATTGCCATACAAGCCTACACCAACCCCACACCCCAAAGCTCAAATCCTGAAAGCTGTTCATCCCATACTCTAAACCCAAGAGAATCTAACCCAAACTCAAAACCAATGATGAGCTAAACGCAAACAGCCGATACCCTCAACCAAAATTCCTTACACCCAAACAAAAACATAGCAACTGGCCGCCCAAAATATTGCTCGGCAGAGGAGCCGGGATGTAAGTGCCGTTCCGGAGGGTCACGCCGGTGACCTGGGCTAAGTTTGGGTCTGATCTGGGAGAGCACGGAATTCAGGTGTTACAGTTTTTTACAGGGTTTATGATTTGTTGAGTAGGTTTTTTTGTGTTGTATGGTCGGAGCCTGCACACGGTTCAGAGCGGTGGGTCTTGGTTGATCAATATTTAGAGAACATCGGAATACGACTCGGGCACAGGGAATATTTTTCTGCTGTTCGATTCACTGCATAGGGAGTCCACATGGCACGCAATGATTACGAACAAGATTATGACGATGATTCTTTGGCGACTCCGACCGGTTGTCTTGTTGTCGTGACCACTTCCACTACCTTCTAAACTGCTCCCGAGATTTTGCTATGACCTTCACGGGATGCTTCAGGCACGAACAGCAACTCATCCGTCAGGCTTCGTCTTGCGCTTCGCCAAACCCTCAAACCCAACCCTGAAACAGCATGAGCCATGCTCACAACCCTGAAGCAACAACCCTGACACCCTGAAAGCTAAGAGGACGGGCCGTTTTCGCACACATCCGTGTATAGTTGTTTTCAATATATCTATATATATGGTACCCCCCCCCAAAAAAAAAAAAAAAACCACGCTTCGCTGTCAGGTACTCTCGACTTGCCCAACTTCATCGGGGCATGGATGCAGCTGCAATAACGTTCAAGGTCTTTCAGGGCTTCTCAATTTGAGGGATTCGCGACGCGACGTGTAAGTATCTGATGCTCAAAGGGCCTCGCTGTGACGGATACTTCAGCGGATTTGCGGATTCGCGAATTCGCAGATTCGCAGATTCGCAGATTCGCAGATTCGCGGATTCGCGGATTCGCAGATTCGCAGATTCGCAGATTCGCAGATTCGCAGATTCGCAGATTCGCAGATTCGCAGATTCGCGGATTCGCAGATTCGCAGATTCGCAGATTCGCTGATTCTATATATGCGCCACAACCTATGGTCTGTCAAATCTGCGAATCTGCGAATCTGGGAATCTGCGAATTCGCGAATCCGCGAATCTGCGAATCTGCAACATATTATCAAAAACTATATTTTAGTATATGTTTCAGTTCACACTCGTGTCCAAACATCACAACCTGTGAAACATCATGACATCCAGATTTCGTTTCTTTCTCAAGCACAGAGGCTGATACATGTGCGCATAAAGGAATCTGGTAGTGCCAAGGCAGGAAAAATTTGTTGTTCCGGCGTGTGTAAAGACCCTGTTTGCTTCTTTTCAACATAAATCCAAATAACGGCATCATTCAAAAAGTTAACCTATGTGAAAGCTTTTTGTTGCTTCTCCATGCCTGTGGTTAATCAGATTACATACTTGAAATACTAAGTAAACATCCCATTCTATAGTGTTCTGCTTATAATATCTTCATTTTCATTTGTCACGTGCCAGACTAGTTGTCTTTTGGCCACTCATCAGTCCAACTCATGTATAGGAACCCACTATCATTGCCAAAATGAAGCCTCTAAAATGCATGCGGGCATATCTAAATGCATGTCGGTTAAATTTTCGGCTTATATCAAGATAAGGAGCTAGCCATTTCAAACGGTTTACGCACATATTTAGTCTACTTGCTGCCAAGCCGGGTAATTGTTATTCACCTTTTGCATTCTGACAGCCCTATGCCAGAGGCAAGCAATTGAAAACATATGGGTTGGTGAATGGATGCACTTGTCCCGTGATTGAAACATGACCAGACCATGGTAATGTAGATAATTAGCTAATTCCAGGTGCTTACACAGTGTATGTCACAGTAGTATGTATACACAAAAACGTTGATTTAACCAGTCACCTAAGCAACTTACTGGCAATATTTGTTAGTGGTATATCCGTGCTTTCTTAATTTAGTTTATGATGGAAGTTATGACAGTAAACTGAACGAGTTGTTTGGCCCCTGCTTGAACTAACCCATGTAGCACGCCAGCGATTTTGCGAGTATTATCACGGATACATTGAATACTACGAGCCAGGACGAGGGACTGGTGATATCAGTGGCCAGCAGGGAAATCTACTACGGATTGCTAGTACTCATACCACCACTCAAGCTAAACGATATGCTCTGAGCGTTGGCAACGATGGTAATATCTGACGCCAATACTCGTAATAATGTGGGAGCAGGTAATGCTGGGAGCTAGAGGATTACGGGCAGCCTTGGTTTCGAAAATGTAGTGCTGCGGTGACTTGCAGGCCGCAGGCCACAGACATGTAGAATTTCAGGGTTCGTGGGCTGCAAAACAGGCCGAACCCAAATCCCGCTTAATGTTCTGCACGCCGGGCCCAATACTAATTTCAGTTCTCAGGGGTGGCTTCCTACAACGGGAAAGGATTAAGCCGATGTAGGGAAATTAGCTAGTCAATGGTTCTAGAAGACAGCAGGCTTCTCATCCAAATCATGTCATATTGTGCAATGAGTCAGTTAATCAACAGCTAGGTTCGTTCAAGGGGACCTGGAACCTACACCCAGGGCTTCGGGACTAGGGCTTAGGGCTTAGGGTTCAAGGTTTAGGGTCTAGGGTCTCTAGGGCTTAGGGCTTACGATAGGAATTGAGATTTGTCTGTCTGTGTGCCAATTAGAAACACTCCTTTTCCTTTTCGATGTTTTCTCCGGAGCTTGTTTGGTTATCTGTTCCTGTTTGGCTGGCTCATACAAACAATAATTGAGGAAATATGTTTTACGGAACTTCCAACGAAGCAATCAGTTCTTATCATATGGCAGTGAGGAAGGGGAAAATTGAATATTAATTCCTAATAGCAGTTGTACTAGTACTGTATCAAATTGTCTAAAATCTTATAAGAATATTTACATTTTTTGCTCCAGGGCAGACAACAAAACAATACTTCACTAGATTATCTTGGTTATATTGTGTTTTGCGTAATTCCTAACATTAATTACAGTAATGCTGTATCAAATTGGACAAATATTTATAAGAATATTTATAGTTCTAGTTATTAAGCAGATAACAGCAATACTTCACTAGATTATCTTGTCTACACCGTATTTTGCACACGCGTGGATAGCACATGTAGGAATGCTGGAGTGAATTATCAGGATCTTTTACTAGTTCTTGCGGGTCTTAGGGGGGCGGTAGCATATATATATATATATATATATATATATATATATAGACATATACACATATGTGTGTACATATATATATATATGTATATTTATATGTACAGATACAATACATGAAATGTCTAACTAGTTGCTTACAATTAATTTGTAGAAACATTCCACTGTTTATACAGATGTCTACGCCAGGGGTCCTTTTTTGGCGGTTCCTTCTGAAGGATCCAAGAAGCCCGATTCCGCGCCACCTCCACCCGGGCGACGGGGGCGTTAACGAGGACCCGGCCCCCGGCTTTCTCGATGGTGCGGATGAGACCGCGGCTGATCCTGCATCTGCATGGAGCTTCGGATTCAGGGGGCTTCAGGTCATGGAGGGTTTTGATGTGTTTTGCTGGGCGTGGGGATCGGGGGGGGGTAAGGTTTTGGGCTTAGAGCTTGGGGGTGTTTTCGGGCTCATCGAAGCCTTTGGGGACCACCAACGGGGTAGTAGCCGCCCTCCAGGTAGTGGCTGACGATGCCCGAGTGGATGAAGAAGGAAGCAGCAGAAGGCCTCCTTGGACTTTTGGGGTTTTGCGGCGCTGGGATTCGAAGGCTTGTTGGGAATCCCAGAGGTGTAAACTGTTCAGGGTTCTGTTTTCAAATGAAACTCCAACATGCTCCCGGAAAGCCTCATCTTTGGGGTTACGGGACGGCATTCCACCCTCATCGTCCTACTACCGCGACAACGACGACCACCACCACCTTTGCCACTACTCCTGGTTGATACTGCTTCTGTGACGACTTACAGGCAGAGCCGCATGCCATAGTCACCGAATTGGCCGAGAAGGATGGACTTCAGCAGTTCCGAGGAGAAGAGCTCGTCCAGCACCTCCTTCGCCTTCAGAAGCTCCATGCGATGTTGGGGACTTGGCATGCAGAGTTCAGGATTGGAGGGTTTTAGTGAGTTTAGCGATTTTAGTGTTTAACGCTCAGGACTTGGTTGTAGCTTGGGCCTGCCAAGTCCAGCACCCAAAACAGAAGGCTTTGGCATTTAGAGTTTGGCTTTCGGGTCTAGGGCATTGCGAGTTCAGAAGTCACTGCCACTACGCTCCAAAACGCGACATTCTGAGCCCTCAACCCCAAGCCCTGAGCCCATTCACCAGAAGCCCTTATTCTTGCACAGCTGCCGTTCGGGTGGCGAGCTTCTTGAACTTGCCACCAAGGAAGAGATCCTCCCGATAGTCAAAAAAACCCTGAAACGGACAAAGGGCTTCCCCAGGAGGCAGCTCTTCGACAGAAAATAGTCCGTCGATTATTGAAACTTTCGAATGCAGATTCCCAAAAAGATATGTGGGTGCTTTCCGGAGTATATATCTGGAAGGGTCCGATAGGATCGAAGGTGCAGAGCCGGGTTTTTGCTTCCTTGTACAGGGAGCGACATCTAGGCCTTGCAAGGGTGTCGAAAGGATATCTAAATTCAAAGGTGCTTTGTTGTCCGGTTGTTGCGGAGCTTGTGGTTGCATTTTGCGGGTCGAGGGCGAAGGAATCAGGATTTTCAGGGGCGTAGCGCCGTCACCCCAACCCCGAGACCCTAAACCCCCAAACGCTGAACCTAAGACCCTAAGCCTATATTACCTGTAGCCCTATAGAATATCACCAAAAGGAAATGTAAAAGCGCTACATGCGGGAAACCTGAGCCCGAAACCCTGAACCCTAAATGGACCGTTCAGCCTCATTGTCATAGTAGTAGCCCTTAAAGCTAATCGCCCCCTACTGTAGCCTCGCAGTAACCCTGAAACGAATCCTTCATGGAACTCAAATCCCCGTAAAGCCACCAAAGAGCCCTACTGCCCGAAAAAAAAGCCTTCGAAGGGAACCCTAAAGGAGCCCTTAAAGGAAGGAGCCCTTCGAAGGGAACCCTAAAGGAGCCCTTACAGGAGCCCTTAAAGGAGGAGCCCCTAAAGGAGGAGCGCTAAAACGGTGGTCCAGGAGCAGCTCCAGGGGGCGCGCAAAGAGCTTCCCGAAGAAGTGGAGCTCCGCCCCCTGTTGAGCTCAGGGAGTTTAGAGATTAGGGTTTAGGGGGTTTGGGGGGTTTCGGGTTTTGGGGGTTCAGGGGTTTAGGGGTTTGGGGATTAGGGTTTAAGGGTTTGGGGATTAGGGTTTAAAAGGGTTTGGGGCTTTAGGGTTTAGGATCTAGGCGTTTCTGGGTTTAGGGTTTAGGGTTTGAGATTCGGCGATTGGGGTTTGGGAGAGGATCTTGAGCTTCGGCTGCAGCGTTCAAGGTTCCGGGCCGTTTGGGGATCGTTGGTCCAATCCTCACTTACCCGTCTCTAGCAACAAGCCTCAATCTGTCGAAGCCAAGGGCCTTGTTGCATTTTGAAGCCCTGCCCGAACCCTAAACCCTGAGCCAAGGGCCTTGTTGCACTTGGTGACCAGCTCCACGTACTTTTCGATGGCCTCCTTCTCCTCCGGAAAGCGCTTCTGGAGGTCCTCTCCGGCGACAGAACCCTGAAGGCAGGAAGCCTGGCATAGAAGACCCGAAGCCCCAAAGATGCAGAGCTCTCAGAGATGTAGGGCTCTTAGAGTTCAGGACTTGGGGTTTAGGGTTCGGCGGTTTGGGGCTTTCGGGTTTCATGTGGCTCAAGGCTGCGGTCCCAAAGCACAACCTCAGAGCCCTGACGCAGCTCAGAAAGCATCCAAAAATGCTGCACGAAGCCCGACATCCCAAAGAGGCGTGAAAGAAAGCACAAACCTAAACCCTAAACCCCTACACCCCTGAACCCCTAAACCCCTAAACCGTTGAACCCTTAAACCCTAAACTCTAACCCTTAAAACAGTACAGTCTGAAGCTGATACTGGATCGATCCCCGGTCCTCAATGAAGTGCTGCCGCCCAGCCCGAAGAGCCTGGACCGGCTCCTGCAAACCACTATGAGCTATTAGACCTTATGGGTACCTTAATCTACCCTTAATAGGGTCCTAATAGGGATCTTTAGGCTCCTGCACCCAGAGCCTCCAAAACCCCTTAATTAAGGAATATACCTTAAATCATATTAGGGATCCCTAATATGATTTAAGGTATATTCCTTAATTAATGGGTTTTGGAGGCTTTGGGCAAACGACCCCGACTTCGGCGCTTCCAGGGTTCAAGGGCTTAGGGTTGGGGTTTCGGGTTTAGGGCTCCAAGGTTTATAGGGCTTCGGATTTTTGTTTTGGGTTCAAGGGCTGAATGTAGGAACCTGATTAAGACACTCTGGCCCTATAACCCCAATATATTAGGAGTCATACAAGGAACCCTAATAAAGGCCCAAGGTTTCTTATTCAGGTTCCTACATTAGGGTTTGGGCTTCGGGTTTAGGGTTCCAGGGTTTATAGGGCTTCGGATTTTTATTTTGGGTTCAAAGGTTCAGGGCCTGGGGTTTAGGGTTGTCTGTGTTTAAGAGCTTATGGGGTTTTAGGGTTTTGTTTTGCGCTGAAGGTTTAGGGTATATATAGGGCTTGGGGTTAAAGGGCTCAGGGTTTAGGGTGTAGGGTGCCGTCACTCGATCACTCAGTGAAGTATGAAGCTGCGAATATCCTTGACTCCTGTGGTTGCATTGTACTCATGTACTTCTGATGTACAGATATCCGTAGAAAGTGTTTATAAGCACCAGCGTGTAAATTCAACATCGTTGTTTCACGATCGTGCTATTGTTTCTAGTGCGGATGCATTGGTATTCCTGTGTGAATTATGAATGCTGGTACTTCGCGCGAGGTTGCTATCTCGAACAACACTAGAAAATCGAATTTAACCTTGTTGCCGTTTGCATTATTCAAGACTGGGGCATCAAGCCGGCAGCTTTCCATAGAAATGCTTATGCGGTTCACGCTTACTCTCTGCGAAAGAGCCCGATAATGTTACCATGCTGCTTGGCGAATGAATCCGTAAGCGCCAGCTTCAACCCACCTCCAGAAGCCCAAAGGCCTAAACCTGAAGCCCAAAAGCCCTTCTGGAGTTTAGTGTTTGGAAGTTAAACCATGTAGGGTTTAGCTCAAACCGACATCGTGATATCAGCTCCGATCTCCTCTCCGAGCTTGATGCGATCGTAGACGAAGCCATCCGACTGACTTCCGAGCCTTGGGAGTTCAAGGTGTCTCGGCTTCCGATAACCGGCGCTCTGTTGCTTCCCGGTGTTTTGGAGGGTTTGGAATTTTTTGTGAAAGGTGATAGGTAGCAGGCTTGCTTATCCAAAGCCGCACTAATTACACGAATGCTTTCGCTGTTTGGGGTCACCCAGCTCTAGCTTCCACTTGAAGGGAGCAGCGGCAGACTGGGCGCAAGGTGTGGGATTTAGGGCTCAAGGCTTAGGGTCCAGGGGTTTGGATGAAGGATCAGCTACTTTCGATCTCGAAACGGGCGGTTAAGCTTGTGTTGTTCTCGGCAACGTTCCCTTCATCAAGAGCCGTAATCAAGAGCAGGAGCAAAGCAATGCAAATGACGACATCGATAAAATGCACTGCTGATCGCCGCATGACAAAGATCCCATTTACCATCACCCTGAAGCCCTGGACTCCAACCATTACAACAACTACAACTACCGTCACCGCTTTTGATAAGGACAACAGTACCGCGGCCAGTTGAGTAGGCGACCCTCAGCTGCTGTTCGTTTCAAGGAAATCTTGCACAGCAAGGGTCTGTGCAAACTTGATCGGCTCGTCAGACACGAGGTCCAGCAGCTTTCCATACTTCTCCACGCGCCCCACGTAGTGCACACCTGGAGGCGACTCGAGGCTTTCCTGCCCTCAGCCCGTTACCCTTCAAGTCCTAAAGAATAAAACCAGGAAAAACCACTGTTAAGAACCGGAAAGCCTAAACCCTAAAGCCCAAGTTAAAACCTTGACCCATAGGAGGGCTTGGGGATTTCCAGCTTCTGCAGCTTTACGAGCATTTCGGGCTGAAGCGTTTAGGATCCTGGGCTTTAGCAGCGCGAACCGGTGCGGAGGAAAGATCCGCGACAGCCGACTTCCCACGGTTTAGGGTTTAGGGTTTCGGGTTTAGGGAGCCCGACGTCTGAAGTTGCTTGTTTCTCTTTGCAGAAACTGGAATCGCGCATGGGAGATTCAAGAAGTAGGGAACAATGATATACAGAGGTCCTGTTGTTCACCCTGCAGGAAGACCACAAACATTGCGCACGCCCAAATTGATATACACATAAAATTATAGGATTATATGTATGTATACTAAAATACCTATATAGAAATATATATATATATATACACACACATAGATGATAAAATGGAACATGTGTGTGTGTGTGTGTAGATGTGTGTATGTGTGTGTATGTGTATGTATATATATATATATATATATATATATATATATACTGTATATATATATATATATATACATATTTTTCTATTTATTCGCTCACTAAAATTGCATCTTCTTGTATTGTATTTATACTATGCAGAAAACGTGACAACATTGACTTTTAGCGACTTGGTTGCCTGTGTCGAAGGTCCACCCTTTGTCTGTAAACTCGTGCGTGCAGCCGCCAGCGACATAATGCCTTCGGTGTGGAGCATCCCAGCTCCGGGTACGAAGGGCTCAGAGTTTCAGGGCATCAGGAAAGCTTTAAACCCCTTGCCTTGAAACCCCAAGCCTAGGCCCAAGGCCTGAAACCCTTAAAGCCTCGAAGCCCTTCTTCTTGAACCCCGAAGCCCTTCAAACCCAAACTTGATCTTCCCGGCAAAGGCTTCTCGCAGAGCCGCTGCTCCAAGACCAGCACCGCTCGGCCAGACTTTGCCAGCAGGGCAGCCAGGTACAGACCTTCAATGGCTTCGGGGTTGAGGCTATTGGGTCGTGAAATTCAGGGTTCAAGGTGGGTTGAGGGTTTAAGGTTTTAGCAGAAAGATCAAAATAGTTGAAAGATTATGGCAGCCTGCCGGTTAGGGATCATACATCGAAACGAAACCAAAACCTTGCACCCTGCCTGAACCCCGAAGCCCTATTCCCTCAACTCCAAAAACACTCTGGAACCCATTCCAGAACTGTCGAGTGCAGGGTTTAGCGTTCAGGGAGCCTGATCCTTGAACCCGACAACCCCAGAAACCGTAAAAATAAACCTGAGACTTCGGCCTCCGATCCCCGAGCCCACCACCACCACGTCGATGCGCTTCGGGAGTTTCTTCTGCGAGAAGCGGTCGCGGGTGCAGTCCTCACCCTCGGCCCGAGAAGACTCCAGCGGCACGTAGTCCCTGAAGTTCTTGGGCCCACGTCGTCGCTTGATTCCTGGAGCTTGCAAATGTTGAGGGCGAAGGGTTTGGGCTCTTCTTCGACTTAGGATTCGAGGAGAATCTTCGAGGCACGCCCATGCGATGGCTTTACGGTCCAAGTCGCCGGCTTGCCAAGAGCCCCCAAGACAGGGGAGCCCTTTTCGTAGTTACAGACTGGGAGGCTCAAGGGCCTCAGCAACCCAAGTAACCAAAGGACGGCCAGAGCCAGGAGAACCCTTTCTGAAAAGCCCAAGATCTAGGACGCCAGGACACTGATCACCTCAATCGCCAGCAGAGCGCCCGCTGTCAGACATGTCGCCGCAGCAACCCGGCCCAGATCACGGGAGCTCACTGCAGGCATGGCGGCGCCAGCTCGGCCGGCTGAAAACTGCGTCACTGCTGCGCCGGCAGTCCTATGCCTCTTGATGGACGCGGGAACAATGGACAAGGTTTCGGGATTTCGTTTTGGTGAATACCCTAGCCACCTGTATTGGGAGGATGATTTGTCTGCGCATCCTTCCACTGCGCAGCGTAATTCACCAAAATGCAGAGTGCTACCAGTACGATCCCTCCGTGCTTCCAGAGTTTCCGGTCCTTCGGGTTTCGAGTCTAGGTTCTAGGACTGAACTTGGGCCTTCAGAGTGGGTGTCAACAACGTCAACTGCTGTCACTTTGAATCTTTACCTGCAACAGATGGGTTTTCTGGCGTCGGAGCGTTTGCCGTTGTTCTTCAGGGTCTCGAAGCTTTGGGGAGTCCGATGCTCAGGTTTTGGATTTCAAGGTCGTGGGGGTGAGGCGGCTCAGAGGCTCGGTCGTTGTTAGTAGGACAGGGCGGCATGATCATCAAGGTACTGTACAATCGATGCGCAAAACCATGATTCGGACTATTCCAATGAGGTCCAACTACTTGCATTCAGCACCAACTCAATCCACGATGTCGCTGCACCTATCTGGTGTCGGGCGGTGAAAAGCCACAGTCTTCTACAAGCCGTCCTATGTCTGCATAATACCGGCGTGCACAGAACCCAACATGTAAATCAACAAAAAGGCCATGAAGGCTGTGGGTTTCGAGAGTGCAGAGAGTGCACCTTTGTGCCATGAGAAATGCGGCCGCTGTTGTCATAAGCATGTATCCGCGTGCTGTTGACGCAGAAGTGGTTGCCAACGGCACAGACTATGCTGTGGCATTGCTGGCAACCTCATTGCACAAAACTGCACACTCGCTCTCGTCCCCGATCCGATTCAATCGGAAGTCGATGTGAGTCAGGGTGCTGTTGTTCTCAGCACGCGAACTAAGGCCTTGCAGACAGGAAACCAAGAGCAGGCGCCTGCTGCCCCGTGGGCGCCCCCAAACCCTGAACCCTATTAACCCTAACCCTTCGAGGCCTTCACACCACCATCGCACATGTCGACAGAGCTGAGACTGAGGTGGGTAAGGGTCTTGTTCGTCTTCAACGATTCGGCAAGGCCCTAGCAAGCTCACATGGGTTTACGGTTGAGGGTTTAGGGTTTAGGGTTTAAGCGAGTGCCTTCCAGATAGCATTGCACAGACACCCAACTTTCTCAATCTGCAGGCCCATCTGCAGCTCGATCTCCAGCTCTGTCAGGGTCTCAGTCAGCAACAATGGCGTCAGCGCCTGATGAGCACCTTGCTGCAGAGCTGGTTGAAGGCACAACCCCGGCCTTCGCCAGCTCGCGGGCTTCTGCTTTGTCCACTGCAAAACGTCGGAGCCTCACGACCTTCAGCTTTTCGTACAATGGCACCACTTTATCGCCAGCTGCCACAGCTCGCCTTCGGCCAGAGTTTCAAAGACTGCCTCTTCGCACTCCGGGGAATCCGCTCCAGAACGCGGTCCTGGGGGCTCAGGGCTGGGCTGGCTTTTGGAAGGCCCGAAAGTGCGCGCAACGTCCATGAAAACTTTGGACCGTCCTCGTAAAAGTCGACTCGGAAAGCGCCATAGTCGTCAAATCGTGCGATGAGTGCTAGACTCCAGGTATACACAGACTTCAAGAAGACAGCATTTTCACAAAGGCGCTACAAAGACTCTACCGAGACCCAACAAGACTCCACAAAGACTCGAAAGATTCCAGGAAGACTCCAAGAGACTAGCCGAAATTTCATCGATGCTTGCCGGAATTGCAGACTCGAACCGAAAGAGCGATGTTCCGACGATGAGTGCTGCATTGTCGTGGTAATGTGATGGTCCAGTCAACTTTGTTGCAATCCACGTCCTGCTTGCAGCAAGCTGTGCGCAAAAACTCCATGCGAAGTTTCAAACCCCAAACCCCTAAATCCCACAACTCTGAGCCTCAAACCCACATCCGAGGAACCCCGATCCATCCACGACCCTGGGTGCTCACAGCCCAAGATACAGGTCTTAAGAAGTAGAAGTTGCACTGAAGTTGCACAGCTCTGTAGCTCCGCGTTCACACTGTGACCTTCTAGTCGGCACACTCCCCCGTGCAACGATTCAGGACTCTTTTTTGCACAAAACAAGCCGCAGTCTCGGTCTGTCAGCTTTCACAGTCCACTGGTCTCCAACCCATGGCCCATGACTAGCGGGGCGGTGCCTACACAGCGATCTGAGGAAGATCAGCTCGCAGGCGGCTAATCCCATTTGCTGCACGCGAGAAGGCCGGAGCCTCAGACATATCACCACTTTGACAAGCGGGGCATCCCAGTGCGCCATGATGAGCATCGGCGCTCTTCAGCCAGCACCATCCGCGATCACTACCAAACGTGAAAGCCCCACACTCCGGGTGTCCCTGGCAGAGGGAGCAACAGTCCTCATAGCTGCTTACGTAGAATTGTTGCTCGTTGCCACAATCATCATATAAGTCATACCCATGGAAGTCCACGCCATCCTTTGCTGGAGGACATTTTGCAGTGTCACAGGCTAAAGACGGAAGATCAGCTCCCTTGCCGCCAGGCAAAGCTGCCGAGTGCGAGAAGCCCGGAAGCTCAGACATATCACCACTCTGATAGTCAGGGACGCCCCTGGCGCCACGACGGGCGAAGGCATCCTTCAGCCAGCAGAGCGTTGTTGAGGTCTGAAAACTGAAAGTCCGACATTCTGGGGTTGCCTGGCAACTGGAGCAACATTCCTCGTAGCTGTATCCTATTCGTTGTCGCACGTTGCCACAATCATCCGTTAAGTCATGCCCATTGAAGTCCACGCCATCGTGTGCTGGAGGACATTCGGAACAATCCAACGCAATGCTCCAAGCGAGCGACATGGCAGCGAGCAGCAACCGCAACATGGCGTTTTGTCCGTTGCAGCCCAGCCTCTGGTGGGAAAAATCAAACATGGATCTGCTTTAAACTTTGGGCCGGAGCGCAACGAGGTCCACAAAGACATCAGTGGCCTGGGTTGGCCACTTGCAATCAACTCTTTACTCCCGCTTGGTTGACGCGCTCAGCTGAAATCATCGTCAAGCCATTAGATGAAAAGACTCAGACCCAAAACCCCCAAATCCCCAAGCCAATACACTTGTGAGATTTTCTGCCAGCGTAGGACTGGATTTCCAGGAAAATTTGCTTTTCATTTTATTTACCTCCGATCATCCTCCTGCATTTTCCTTCCCTCATATCTGCTCTGCTGAATCATCCTCCACGTTATTTTCCCTTTACGTGTTAACCGGGTGTTCATGAATATATAAGTAAAAATTCAGGAGATATGTCTGTCCATCAATTCAGTATGTGTTCAGAAATGGATAAAACCCGCAAGCACTCAAGGCTTCTGGGCGCTCGCTCTGTGTTAATTTCGAACAATCTTTGTTGCAAGAAGACCCTCGCATGTGGACCCATCGCAACCCTGGGATTGCAGGTGAAAATAGTGTTTTGCATGGTAGCGGAGCCCGGCTACACGCACCGATTCCTTTGGGTCTCGGGCGAAAGCCGTGGCGTCCAGGGCCGGGACCCGAAAACCCTCTAAGGGGCCCAGTAGGGTAGAGGCCACGATTAAGCCCCAAGGCTTTGGGCACTTGCTGTTTGTCGAGCGAGAGGGCCGCCCGAGCGGCCAAGCAGCAAGCTGGCAGTCAGCGATCAGACAATATGTTCCGGAGTTTGAAGGTTGATGCTTGGAAGCCGCAGGGGAGAGAGGATGAGCTGCGGACTTGGAGAGAGTGGTGGTTTGGTTTAACGAATTACCTCATAGCCCATGACCCGGGCTATGAGGAGGACCTCCGCAACATCGATTTGGAGACGGAGGTAGATCACGCTTTGCTACCGGATGAGATGGTGCAACGGAGCCAAAAGCTCTACAGCTTTCTTTGCAGTTTGGTGAAGGGGCGGCCTTTGCTGCTGGTGCGGTCGCTTGAAAGGACAAAGTCTGGGCACGAGGCGGCGCGCGTGCTGAAGAACGAGATGGAGCCGAGAGAGAAAGCAAGGTCGCTTGCCTTGCTGCGGCAGCCTCACGCAGCTCAGACTCAGGTCCTCGCAGCACCAGGCCTTCATCGTCACCCAGGCCAAGAAGACTTTGAACGTGCTCATCGACAAGTCCTACCAGCTCACGAGGACCTACTGCCGGCCAATGGGTCACTGGAAGAACTCCCTGCTGGGAGTGTGGCAGCGTCTGACAAGCAAGGATGCGCTGTTGCAGTTGATCCTGGAGTTTGTTCGGGGCGTTCCACCGGAGATGAACCCCGCCTGGGGCAGCCTGCTCAGGTCTCTGTCGAGACGGTGAAGTTTTTTTCAATTTTTTACGTCGCTGAGGGGGCATCTCAGCTCTCGGGACAGACCGGCATCTGGAATCTGACAGCTTAAACGGTCTAATGAAGTATCGGTTGGGGGGTTTTCCAGATGAATGGCTCGAGCTTGCAGTACATAGCAAGCGCTCTTTCATTGCTGCTGAGGGGGACTCAGCTCTTGGCGCTGGTCTTGCATCTGGCGTCCGGTAGAATAAGTAATGAAGTATCGGCGTGTCGCTTTTTTCAAGATGATAGACTTGCGAGCTTGCGGTACAGAGCAAGCGCTCGAACAGCCTCCACGCAGCGTGGAGTTCCAATGGGCACTTGGTCCTTGGTTGTCGACACACCTTGTCGCAGACTCAAAGGTCACAAATGAGTGCCGTTGTCATGCCATTCGTTGTCGCGCAAGGGGTTCTGAACGAGTGTGTCTCAAGCTATCCGTCAGGTCCTCCATCCAGGAGATCCTCAAGTTCACGTGGAGGCTGTGAACCGTCTTGCGTTGTTCCAACTGCATTTTTTCAGTTGCGTTTTTCTGCATGCCCTAATCGCAAGGAATCTGACGCCGTTCTGCCTCCATTCATGCTTCAAGTGTAGCATTCTTGCATCTGATGGCTGACCTTTCCATGAAGGATCGGCGCTGTTGTCATAAGCATGTATCCGCGTGCTGTTGACGCAGAAGTGGCTGCCAACAGCACTGACGATGCTGTGGCATTGCTGGCAAAATCATTGCACAAAACTGCACACTCGCTCTGAAACCGCCCCGCGGTCATTCAGGAAGAACAACAATACTACAGCATCACAGCCTTACTAGCAACCCCTGCTGATGAGAAACCCAGGACACAGTGCGGACTGTTGCGGCGAGAATCAACAGTGTGAATTCGGTCGCGACTACGGCATCGCACTGCGATGCACTGCGAAGCCAGAAACTCTCAGCTTCACCAGTCCCGAAACAAGGCATCACTGCCCCAAACTGCATCCCCAAGCACACCTTCAGGAAGCTCTTTCTCAGTCATGGTCAACATCGCTAGGCTACCTTCAGACGGCGCAAAGATGGCGGCAAAGGGCACCTGAGGGCTCACCGCGAGATTCCTTGGCCCACATGGAAAGTGCGTAAGTTGCTTGCAACCATCGAAGGCGACATCGTGATAAAGCATGTGCCAGGATGTGACCATACCAACTTTGCTGCCCCTTCCGGGCCACTGCTGCTGCCCAGTGGCAGTGCAAGCCGGCGACTGGCGAGTAATGGCGCGGCGGATGTTTGCAGGTGACTTGTACTCTTCCGGAAAGAAGAGCAACATTGACGCATAGCATCCCGCATGCTTGTCCTCAAGCCTCTGCATTCTGTTTCGCATGTTGAGAAGCAATGCAGCACATGATGGCTGGGTGGCCTTCAAGAACCATGATGTCAACAAGTCGTTTGAGGACACAAACGCAACGTCAGCTTCTGCTTGGAAGGCCACCTTCTGCTTCTGAACCCAGTCGTCACGCACATACCGACACTGGACGATCGGTATGTGGGATGCAAGCTTCGATCCAATCTGACTTCGAAGGTGCTGCAGCACGAAGAACAACCATTTTCCATGGAAGGGCGCATGCAAACATCTCATGGGATCGAACTTGACTCTAGTCACCTCCATGGACCATACCTCGGCATTGCTGTCCAGCATGCTGTAGATAGCGTAGAAAGTATGGCCATCCGTCAGCATGTGAGACATGGACACTTGCAAGCCCCATCTTTGTCCTCTTGGCTCGGTCAAGACCACGAACCTGCAGATGGGCTCATCGGCGTCCACCAACTCGCATCCAGACTTCACAAAGAACTGCTTTGAGCAGTTCCCCACCACTGCGGCTGTGTCGGCTACGGCTACAACTTCCAGCAGCCTCTGGAAGTCGATCTTTCGTTGAATGAACAGTGCCAGCCTGCCGTTAAACCCCAAACCCTTTCACCCTATCCCACGACCCTAAACCCTTTAAACCCTTCACCTCAGTAAACTCACACCCCCAAACCCTTCCCCCAAAACTCTAAACTCTAAACCCTGCACCTTAAGCCTCCAGCCCACCCCAAACCCCGAAGGATCATAAGCCCTCAACACTCAATGAACTCTCAACCCTCGATCCCTAAGCCTAAGCCCTTCCGCCCAGCCTCCCGCTTCGAGGGTCCCTCTTCAAGCGCCCGGCGAGCCAGGGGTTAGCCTCCACGATCTCCGCAACTCGACTGCGCAGCCAGGCCTCTGGGCAGGCACCCTCATAGACCTCAGCTAAGACGAGGGTTTCAAAGCTTCTGGCGTGGGTTTGGGGCTTCCTTTTTTTTGGAACGCCTTTTTCCACCTAGCAGTTAAGGTCGGCGAAACCCAGAGTTGTGGGAGGCTGGAACCTGAACCATAGGGTTTGGGGCTTTAGGGCTTAGCGTTTAGAGTTTAGGGCTTAGGGTTGAGGGTTTGGAGTTTTTGGGTATCAATCTCATGTTGTTTGCAGTACAGCTATCGTGCTAAGAGTTCTACAACTCCCAAGTCAACAAGTAAGGTAGAACGGCATAACAGTAGTGATACACCTCGACTTATGACATGGTTACATGTAACCGCAAACACCGTATCAAAGAACCGTCAAGTTAAAGGAAAGTCCTGCTAAAGGAAGACGAGGGACGGTAGCCGTTCCTTGCGAAGCAACGTGCACAGATTGGATCTCCGCATCGTTCAGGCCCACAAAGTAGCCACCGCCCGTCTCCGTTGTTGGCACTCGTTTCTCAACGTGCTTGCTTAGGCCGACAAAGCACTCAGCGGATGCCATGATAGGGACAGGGAGGCCTGAAGTATTGCCTAGTCTCTCGCCGCTTCGAGAGCCCGAGGGTTTGATGAGGCTTTTGGAGTCTGATGGCTCAGGACAGACCGTAACAAGGCGACGGAGCAGGCGTAAGCACCTTTTTTTTCTTCACTCCGCCTCCACTTCTGATGTTTTGCTGCCTACTAGCATGTGCTGCACTTCGCGCCGATGGCTTGTATGCTGGAGTGTCGGCTGAATGAAAACTAAATGCCAAAAACAGATGCCGTCAGCTCATAGGTCTGCACGCAGCTGTGCTTCGCGGCAGCCAAGCGCAAACTCATAATTCTGCCGTTGAAATCTAGGCGAGACCTGCCCGGGTCGCTGTCCTGAAGGTTGCGTACCCCACCCAAAATAACTCTGAAAATCGTTGAATTGACAATGGACTCTGTTTTGCAAAGGCAACAGCACTACGAGGCAACAAGATCGCCACCAGCATCGCGACCAGCAACAACAGCACAACAGCAGCAGCAGCAGCAGCAGCAGGAGCAGCTTCAACGGCATCATCACGGTCACAGTCATCATCTTCATCATGATCGTCATCCGCACACATATCAGATGAAGATGGTGTTCATCACCACCGTCATTATTATCATGTTCATGATGTCACGAATGAGCCATAGTGGCCATGAAGCACTACCTGCAAACATGACAGTGACAATGAATCAACGGAAAAACCTGCTACTGCTCGTATGAACAGTAGTCATAGCTAGTATAAGTACAAGAGAGCTGACGCTGAATGCAGCAGAAAGGGCAAGTACACTGCCTTTGCTCTTCCTGCACCCGTCATGGACAAGCAGGCATCTGTTTCAACATTTCGGTGGTGTGCGATTGCTTCTTGAGCTGTCTTCTACTACCGGATGGTTTTGCGCAGGTCTGCCACCAATTAGCCATGTCGCAGATCGAGCTCTGAGAATCGCATGCCGCCGCAGCCGCTTCAGACAAGCCTTCACTCTTGACGACTACAAGAGAAGGCTGCTTGAGCCTCGACCCCGGTCCGCACCACAAAGACTCCAGCACAACCAGGGCATGGCACACGCCACTCGTCATGCGGTCGCCGCCAATGTCGACAAACAGCTTGAAATTGCTCGATGCTTGCTGTATCCTGAGAGGTACTTGTCAAAGTGATTAACACAAGGGACAAAGGCATTGCACAGAATCGAATCTCTCCAGAAATGCCGAGGCTCTCAGCACAAAGCAATCGTAGTGGTGCAGGCTCTTTGAAACAATCGAGCAATTCGAAACGGCATTCCGGGTACCGCCGGCAGCTCTCCTCAACAAGCAGGACGGCAGACCACAACTTTGTCGTTGCTGTACGACACAATGAAAATAGTGGCATATTCTATGCGACTTCGACTTGAACTAGACTGATAGCTGATAGCTCCAACCGCGACGCAAGCTGGATGCACTCACCATGTCGATGGATTCGCTGATGTGACGTTGCGACTTTGCTTTGACTGCGGAAATGATGTGCAGCTTTCTACTCCTGATTCGCAAATCCGGCTACGAGGGCTTGTTTGTAATTCCCCGGCACTCATGATCAGTGCAACTTGCAGAATAATTCTGACACCGATTCTGGCTACTACCATGGCTAGAACTACCCATCAGTTTGCTGCTGTCACGCCGGAGCGTTGTTATTGTCTTATGCCCCTTCTACTGGCTGTGAACACTAGCAGGTTCCTAGCATCAACGACAACCATGCCACTACTACTACTCCTGCTCCTCCCTACGCCTACTGCTACTCCTACTCCTACTGCTACTCCGACTGCGACCTCTGCTGCTGCTACTGCTACTGCCAGTGCTACCGCCACTGCTACCGCTACTGCCATTGCCACTACTACTGCTACTACTACTGCTACTCCTACTGCTGCTACTACGACTACTACTGCTGCTGCTGCTACTACTACTACTACTGCTGCTGCTGCTGCTGCTGCTGCTGCTGTTGCTGCTGTTGCTGCTGCCGTGACGGCCACTACTACTAGTAATACTACCACTACTACCATCACCACTGACGCTTACCGTTGCCGCGCTTCTTACCACAGTTGCTGCTACTCACCAATCATGACTGCCCCTTGGACTCCTCGACGAGTTTGGAGCTGTTGTCCACGCCAATGACTACGGCTGCATGAGAAGCCAAGATGCTGGTGCACTCCTCGGGTGCTAGCTTTGGGATTTCGGGTGCCAGTGGGGTAGTTGGGCATCTTTCACTTTGTGTGTCGCTTTGATAGGCAGGATCAAGCAACAGCCAATCTACTAACAACTTTCAATCGCGTGCGCAGCGTAGAGATCTGCTTCAAGCTGCCTTAAGGCTTCCAGGTTTGCAAACCGGAAGTGGTGCAGCACTGCCTCTTTTGGCACGATGTGTACTACAACAGGGGGCTCAGCAATGCCCCGACCTCGATTCCGTCAAATGCGAAATCCGACATCCGAACCTCTCCATGACAATCAACGATGTATCCGTGAACTGTAGATATAGTCCCGGCATCACAATCTGCGAGCTCCAAGAAACCGTATTTCGTGAAGTGCCGGCGAGGGTCCCCGAAAGAAGATCCCACCTCGAGAATGCCGTCATCCTGTGCGCAAGCAAGCGACACTACTCCCCATTCCCCTAAACCCTAAACCTTAAAGATCCCTACACTCTAATGCAACAGCAGCACACATGTGGCATTGACAACACGTTGCAACCAAGTGGCCTTTCCCACTTGAGTCTTGGCCAGCCTCCGGTACGTCGTCGTGTCGTAGACCACAAGAACTCTTGGCGGAGATGATGGCAAGACGCGCACCACCCGTCCGGATGAGCAGCCGAAAATTCTCCCATCAGCGCTCTGCAGAAGAACTTGCATCTGATCTGCCTGCATGATCCTCCTCGTGCACGGCGAGCTACAACTGCCATGTGCCTAGAAGGCTTGGGGTAAAGGAGCTTGAAGCATCGCGGCAGTCCTCCGAAGGCCAACAAACAGCTCGTCATGGTTGACTGGCCCGGGATATGTCGAAAGGCCTGCGAGTCTTACACGAACGGGCCCACTGGCCCGGGATATGTCGAAAGGCCTGCGAGTCTTACACGAACGGGCCCAAGTCTGATCCTGGGGTTTACTGTAGGGCCTAAGCGGTACATTCAAACAAGTAACTAAGCTCGTGGAAGCAGGTGCCCTCGAGACTCGTAGTCCTGTGGCATCATCAAAGCACTGCGAATGGCCTTCAGGTCGTGGGGCTAAGACGGTAGCGTGACAGTGCCTCTTGTTGCTGTGATTGTCCACAGCCACGGTTTCACCTGACCGCTGGATTTCCCATGTCCCAAGCTTTATGATGGAAGCCAATTTGAAACATCACTCTCGACAGTAGTCACAAACACGAATGACAGCAGCGTCGTCTTGACGCCACGAATACTATTGCAGTGATGCCACTGCCGCCAACACTACCCCTCCCCCTCCCCTGCCACTGCCACTGCCACCACCACCACCACCACCACCACTACGACTGCCACCACGACTACTTCTACTACTACTACTACTACGACTACTACTCCTGCTGCTTCTGCTACTACTGCTACGAGAGCTGATGCTCCAAAAACCGCACCTGACGCACTTTGCGTTGTACAACCTGCCTGGCCGAAAGTGCTCGAAGAGGTTGTGACACCAGGAGGACGCAAAACTCCCGTGCTTGTCAGAGGGTGTCTGTGCACATTGCCACAGATACGTGGCAAACGGAAGCTCGCACGACTCGTGCTGAGCTGCCGTTGCCACGACCTGCACAGAGAAAATACCAGCAGCAGCAGCCGCAGCAGCAGCAGGGGCCGAGGTAATGGTTGTGTTGTTGTTGCTGTAATTGTTGCTGCTGTTGTTGTTGTTGCTGCTGCTGCTGCTAGTGGTGGTGGTGGTGCTGGCGGCGGCTGTGGTGTTGTCGTCGTCGCCGTCGTAATAGTGGTAGGAGGAAGACTAGGAGTAGTAGGAGTAGCAGTAGTAGCAGCAGCAGCAGTAGCGGTAGTCAAAGTAGTGGTAGTAAAAGTAGTAGTAGTAGTAGTAGTAGTAGTAGTAGTAGTAGTAGTAGTAGTAGTAGTAGTAGTTGTAGTAGTTGTAGTAGTAGTAGTAGTAGTAGTAGTAGTAGTAGTAGTAGTAGTAATCGTAGTAGTAATCGTAGTAGTAATCGTAGTAGTAGTAGTAGTAGAAGAAGAAGAAGCAGTAGGAGTAGTAGCAGTAGTGGTAGTAGTAGTAGTAGTAGTAGTAGTAGTCGTCGTCGCTGTTGTAGGAGAGCAGTAGGATAGGAGTAGTAGGAGGAATTGAAGAAGGGCAGAAATAGTAGTTGTTGTTGTAGTTGTAGTTGTTGTAGTTGTTGCTGTTGTTGTTGTCGTTGTGTTGACTGTGCCATAAAAAGAATTTGAAGGCAAAGCCTGCCTCGTCGACAGTATCTTCTGCGCCTCGGCTCGAGCTTTTCCGACTGGGCTGGCCACTTTCCATCGCTACTAGCGAAACTGCTGGCTGCTAGGGAAGCCGGAAGTCAAACCCCAAGTTCTACTTACTTGATGGTCTCGGGCTGCCGCACTAACCACAGAATCTCCTCTGCAGACAGGGAAATTGGCCGTCGTCCCCTAGGCCCCGTGCCCAGCTTGAACAGATCGGCATGCACGGACGGGTAGAGATATATTCTCGGGTTTATGCCAAAGCTGTATGCTTCTGATGTGTTTCGAGCAGTTTGACGCAAGGAGTCATCAGGGCTGGCAGTTCGGCCTTACTAGAGATCATCACAAAATCGCTCAGCCTCACCGAATCTGTCAAAGGGTGTCTCTTTGCTCGGTGAGCACGAAAATGATGATGTTGCTAGGAGAGACTTCGGGGCGTCTGTTGTCCTCATACTATCGTAGGCCCAACATCTTACTGCAATATTCGCTGACGATCCCTATATACAACTGCTGTTATCTAGCACGACCCGGGTGTTTTTGTGCCTCAGTGCTATGACCTACAAAGACTTGCTCAAAACACCCGCAAAACCCCAAACTCTCCACATGATTTGTCGTAAACCCCTATCTGCCCGAGCTATGCCACACAAGCGTTTTGGTGTAGGGGCTGCGGCAGTCGTGCCTTTTTATATGGCTGACTTGCGTTGCTGAAGGAGCACGGCCTGCGTCTACACTGGAGGACACTCACCTCAGCAAGCGGAATCATAGCACCGATGCACTCGGTGTCTTCACTGTTTAGGATTTGAGAGTTTGTTTGTGGACCAGCTAAAAAAGGTCTCTAGATTCTCATCTCCGGCCGTGTGCTTTTTCTGAACCAAAGTCCCGTGCCTACTTAGGCAGAAACGAGGCGAAACCGTGGGCACGAGGGGCAGCTTAAAATTAGAGGTTTCTTGCTTCTGGAAAATATCTTGGTTTTGCGCACCTGAATCACCTAAACTTAAACAAAAATATTGAGCCCGAGGATTGGACAACTTATGCTCCAAAAGTTACTCGTTAGTGTGTGCTACTGTTTCGATCCTTCGACCCTCCGTTTTGCCGATCACGAACGCCTTCGTGGAGTTGGGTTTGCGACTGACTTGAATTAGGGAGTCCGCCGCGCTCGTTCTCAGAATATGGCCACCTCGTCTGATACACGCCTCTCGAACCAACTCCGAAACCAGTTGGATTTCTTTGCTGTGGATTTTGTACGTCTGTAAGTCTTGATTTCTTCGGTGTTTTCCTCACTACAACCTCATTCGTGTTTGCTCGGTTCAAACAAGTACTACCCAAGCCTAGGATTGTTTATTGTCTACTTCCTCTAAGTTGAGTGAATTTACAAATTTACTTTCTACTGCATCGATTGCGTTAGCGGAACATTTTCAAGGCCATAATGGAGTTTTCTGATGTGGCCTAGAGCCGAGCCCTATGGGGCTTGGGAATGACAAGTCACCTCGCGCCGCATACCCCACAGCTCCGTCGAAAGAGAGGCAGCCCCGCATCGCGCAGTTCGCAATGTCACAGACCGCGCCTTTTCCACCTGCCAGCACACCTGGGTTTGGGATTTGGGATTTGGTTGCCGAAACTTGAGCCCCTGTCCACCGCCCTCAAGCTCGCGGTGCCGCACGAGAAGTACATATTTGGGTTATCAGGACTGTTCGATTAGACAACAGCGCAACTAGACACACCCACTGATACACTCAATACACTCAAGACGTGACATGTCCGAATGGCTGCTGGTCATGTTGCGTTCCATCCTTGTTGTGGTGTGCGTTAGGTTTGCCCTCCACTTGCATGTTCCTAAATTAGATCAAGCCTCACAGTCTCAACATCGTTCAGTCTTAAGAGAGTTCAGCCCGAAGGGGTGCATACTCAAAACCCCAAAACCTTATCGTAATATCACTGGGTCACCAACGTATGAACAATTGCTCCCGGAAGCATTTGGGAAAACAAGTAACACCCTACAAGTATCCCGAAACAGCTGTTTGGTTCAATCGAGCACGCCGGCACTCAGACCCTCAAGCCCAACTCTGTGGCCATAAGGAAGCCTCATACGCACTTTGGCCGACTCCTGCGCAAACTCCTAGCAGGTAGCAGAACCAGTTGGTTGCCCTCCCCCTTCGACGTTTAAGACGCGGATCACTTGGCAGCCGCATGGAACTTCATGCCGTCCACCAAGGATTGGTCTACGTCCACCACCTGAAGATGAACCGATGAGCTAGACAGTGCGACGCTGGCGATGGTGACGGCAATGACTACCGCAACACTGTTGGCTATATCGCTCTTGTTGCTGATAGACAAGAAGATGACGGTGATGGTGATGTTGGTCTGACACTGTCACGATGGTAAACCGACATCTTCTTGATCGACACGACCATTGCCCTGGCCACGACCACGGATTGTCGATGACGGAAATGCTTACGTTTGGTGACTGTGCTGGTGACGATGACAGGTGATCCTGATGGTCATTTTTGATTACGGTGACGATGCTGGTGATGCTGATGCTGATGCTGGTGATGCTGATGCTGATGCTGTAATTATGATGGTGATGATGGTTGTGGTGCTGCTGCTGTTGGGTTGATGTTGCTGCAGCTGTCGTGCTGACGACTGTTGGTGCTGCCACGAATGTGCACCTGCTGCCCGTCCCAAGGCTAATCACAACCGCTTGTCTAGGGCATTGAATCCTAAACCCTAAACCTTAAAGCTCTCAACCCCTAAACACATAAACCCCAAGTGCCTAAACACAGAAGCCCCCAAACCCCAAATCAAAACATGAAGCCTTCAACCCGAACACGGAAACTGCAAAGCCCTAAATCTGAAACCCCAGAACCCCCTAAACTTCAGAACTTTCAACCCTAAACCCTGAACCCCTAAAACCCTAAACCCCAAAACCCAAAGCCCGAAGCCCAAAACCTTAAACCCCAAGCCCTGAACCCTAAACCCCGAGCCCTGAACCCTAAACCCTGAAACCGTAAGCCCTGTACCCTCAACCCAAAGCCCTGAACCCAGAAACCCAAAAACCCCAAACCCCTAAACCCTTGCAAGCCCGGACATGGACCTAACCCTAAGCCCAGGAACCCTAAGCCAAGTAGCTGGATCAGAGCTGCGAAGGAGCTCTTCGAGTCGCTTCTCGTCTCGCGTGCCCTCCTCGATGGGGGGAAAAGCTCGCAGCTTAGGAGTTTGGGGGGTTCAGGGCTTTTGAGGGTTGAGGGCTTAGGGGTTTAGGGGTTTGACGGGTTTAGGGTGGGTTTAGGGCGGGTTTAGGGTTTAGGTTTAGGTTTAGGGTTTGGTGTTCAAAGACCTTCAAGGACGAGTGATTCAGTGACTGCGAGTGGTCTTCGGGCCTGTTGCACTTCAACATTGACGTTACAGCCTCTAAGGGTGCGCTTCATTCAACGAAAGCCGCAGTGCTGGAGAAAGCGTGGGGAGGTTTCGCAAGAAGCAACGGCACCAGTACCCCAATGCCTGAAGACCTAGACCCCGTCCTTGATGAGCATGTTGAGGGTCATGTTGTGGTAGCTTGGCACCGTCGTCTCTAAGAGACGGCACGAAGACTCCGAAACCTGATGGCGCAAAAACTGGGAGTCTTCAGACTTTACACTAAACAAGGACGTAGTTTGTCAGGGCCTAAACCCCAGTCCCCTCAACCGTTCCCGAAGCTCCTGAACCAGGTAAGTAAAGTTGTTGACGGTGGGTGAGCGTGGAAGATCATACCATCCGTTTGCCAAGCAGTAAAGGTCGTCGAGCGGATACTGGTGGTCGCGGATGGTGATCTCCCGTCCATTCGGCATCCTCTGTGTGAGTCTCGGTGAGTCTTGGGCTGGGCTCAGACGAATGACTCGGCGCAGGGGTCGGTTTCCTGACTGCTTATGATCCGAATGACAGTCTTGATCGGACTAGCCGATATGGGCTACGGTGAGCAACCTTGCAACAATTACAACGACAAGCACGATGATAGCGACGACAGCGACCGCGACGACATCAGAAGCTGGGGGCCCCAAAAGCCTTTCCCAAAACCCTGAAGCTCGATGCTGTCCTTAGTTTCTTGGGTGTCGAGACCGGGTCCAGCAAGTAGGTCTTGTACCAGTCACTGTAGCTCTCGGCAAAGGGGCGAGCGTTCTCCTAAGTGTATGTGCTCGCGGGTTCAGTGTTTAGAACGTCTGCTTTTGGGTTAAGAGACTGCTGTGGTGATCTTCAGCTTAATAATTCGAATAGGGTTTTGGGGCCCATTATGCTATAACTATAATAAGGACCCCTCAAAAATAGTATAGATAATTATTAAGAAGGTAGAATTAAGGGTGTGGGAACACGCGGTTTTCATCAGCCTTCCGATCGGCGGCAGATACGGGATCATAGGGACCCTTAACGGGGGTAAGGGGGAGGGGGGCAGAGGACTATACTTCCTTAAATAGGCTTGAACAGGCCAGTCTTGTCTTACAAATGCCTAAATCCCTAAACCCTAACCTTTTGAGGTTTGGTCGAAGTTAACAGCTTCGGGCATGTGCTCAGGATCAATAGCGGCCAGAGGGCGTAACACCGAGCAATCGCACATTTTCGAGTCCAGTTACCCAGCTCGCCAAATATGCAATAGCCATCCAAGCCTGGGCAAGGCGCTAACTTCAGTAACCTTACTTGGAGGGTCGGGGAACTTAGTAAGTAGGTAGTAAGTAGACTTATAAGTACCCTAAAAGGGACCCTAATTGGGGTTATGGTACTTGCAAGTCCCGAGAAGAGACAGTTGCTAAGTCCCCCGACCCTCCAAGTAATCTCCCTGGTGCCTAGCGGGGAATTGGGGGATGGATTATGGGGACTATTATTGGGGATTGTATAGGGACTGCTATAGGGTTCCATTTCTACCAGACGGTGGCCTGTGAGTTCTGGATTCCAGGGTTCTGGATTCCGTACATCATAGCAGCGTCATAGCGCATCCCTTTCCCCATGTCGAATTGTACAGGTGCCAAGACTGCCGACGGCCCAAATCCGCAACCCAGAACAAGTTGCATTTCGGACACTGCAGCCAAGCCCTTTTGGCACCAAGCAAACGTGTGTGAAGGTTTCTCAGATTGTAAGTTGGAATGCCTGAAGCAAAAATCGCTGGCCTTGGCGCTCTTACCAAAGATGTTCTATGGCAAATGTGCAGCTTGCATGTTCTCGGCCGAGATCCCATCGGCCCACTCTACATACATACATCATTCCACGGAAGTATGGGCAGAAAAGCAGAGAAGCCCTGTGACATGATGCCGTCGGGAAAACTTGCACGAACCAACGAAGCAATCCGTAGTGTCACATCAGCAACGACAAAATTTGGACTTTCTTCTCATGGGTGGTTGTCAAAATTATGGTCCCTTTTGGGGTACCCTAAATAATAGGTGCCGTACTATAATAGGGACCCGAAGAGGGACCATAATTTTGACAACCACCCTCATGACCATCTTGCAGCAGAGGTGCCAGCATACCTAGAAATCACTTCCTCCATGGGCACATACCTGTCCTGAAGCTTTCCAAGCTAACCAGCTGTGACATGAAAACTCGGCACCGTCAAAATTTGGGAAACACCCTGGTGCATGCGCCAGCGCGTCCTCCGCTTGCAATGCCGCACAAATACCCTGCCACCCGCTGGGTGGATTGCAAGCCTGCCGGATAGGAGGAGAAAAACGCACGCTCCTCGAATCCAGAGCCCTAACCTGGCTTGTGCTGCACCTCTTAAAAATACTAATAATAATAATAAATAATAATAATAACAATAATAATATAGTTATCCAGTTTACCAGATCTGGAAGGACTAGCCGTGCCATCGAAGCAAAGTAGGAAACAAGCCCGCAGGCCTTGGTTTGCTGTTGCAGGGGGCTCGTCTGAAGATCCTGGGCGGGGAGGAGCTGCTGTCAATCCAACGTCTGGTGCAACATAATCCTAAACTCCAGCCTTCACAAACCCTGAACCCTAAACCCTCAAACCCTGAAACCTTAAGGCTTCAGCCAAGATGCTCGTTCCAGTCTCACGAAGATGTCGGTCTGAAGGAAGGATGCTTTGTGGCATTCATCCTCTCAGGCTTGCTGCAGGGTTCTCGGTTTTCCGTTCGGCCTCCACACTACAAGGCAATAGGAGTTACTTTAGGGGTCCCGGATAATTCCAAAAGAGTTACTTTATGGGTTGCTACGTCATGCTATGCTTCTAAGACTGCTTTGGACACGCATCTGGACACGCACCTCTGCAGCCACGTGCGATACCATCAACAACATGGCCCAAAACATATGCACAGAAGCAAGGCATGGCTGCCTACCTCTACCTGCAACGCTCATGGGTTGTCGTTTGCTGCAGGGAGCCAGCTGCAGGTGCACAAAGCATGACGAAGTGACAATGTGCGTGGTCTCGTGCATCTGCAGGTCTCATGCCCTTCTACGGCCAATGGGAAGCAGCCTTCTTCAGTTCAATGAGTTCAATGTCATGAGATGCTGAACGGATGATCTGGGCTCTCGAAAGTCTTAGAGATGCACGAGAAGTTACGAATCTCTCCGGGAAGGCTCTCGGGGATGCAGGCTCAGGTACATCGGGCTTTTGCATCGGATCAGATTACACGCTCAAGATACGGAGCGAAACTGAAAAACAGGGCGGAGCCGCACTGCGGCCTTGCCTTTGTCTGGTCTCTTCCCAAAACTCAGCTCAGAAGTCCACGTTCGGCATGTAAGGACACTCAGTGAAGTGGCCAATGCGGTTTTCCTCTAACAAACAGGCACCTGCCGCAGGGCCCGAGTTGAGCAGACATGACAATCTACTACTTTCTAGGCCTTAGAGTAAAGTATAGGGTTTTTTTTAGGGCCCTTTTCATCCTTCCTACAGTATAGGGTTTAGGGTTTAGGGTTTACAGTGTATTTTCTAGACCTTAGGGTCTAGGGCTAAGGGTTCAGGGTTCAGTGTTTGGGGCCTAGGGTGCCGGAAGGCCAAATACCTCTCTAATTGGAGCAACTCCCGAGAACCCAATTATTTAAGGTTTGTGCATGTGTATATATATATATATATGTATATATATATATATATTAATAATAATAATCAGAATAATAATAATATCTTGCGGCAAGGCGCGAGAGTTCAGGTACGCCATGTCTGCAGCGCTGTTGCGATAACCCAGAAGACATTTGACCTAGCACCAAGACTTTGAGTCCAAAGCGTAACTAAGTAGCACTTCGTATCCATGCGGAAAGCTGCTTAAGACTTGCCGATGGCAGCAGAGGGACATAATGATGCTTCGCAAAGTCACGGTGCGTGACAGGACGACAATCCCTGATGCTTCGCCAGCCGGCCATCTTGTTGATCTCCGGGTTGGAACTGCCAGGATATAGGTAATCATCCGTGGTGCACATCGTCATGACTGCGATTACAGGGTTCCAATCGAGCCAATCGGCGAGAACAAGCTCTTCCTTGGAGAAGTTGTAGGTGGCCTGAATCTCATCGCATTTGTTCTTGGAGAGAGCCATCCACAGTGAGCTGTTCTTCATCCAAGCTGGATCCAGCCCTTGCCCCTGTAAGAAGCCCAAGGAGTAGGCATAGAGATCATCGTAGATGTAGTGGCTGCAATCCGCGTACGTCGTGAGATTGGCCACGCCCTCGAAGTTTCTGAAAGTGATGAGCTTTCCAGTGTTGAGGCCTTTGTAGGACGGATCCCTCAAAACGAGGACGCCATTTGCTGCTTCTGCCTCGAAGTTGGGATCTGGACCTGCATACATTAGCCATCCGGCCGTGCCGTTGAACCAGCAGTAGCCGTCCACTCCAGGATGTTCAGCCATCACGTCTTCAACCGGTCGGTAACAATCAGCTCTGTGGCTATGAAACCGACAGTTGTTGCTGCAATAGTAGTTGGCCTGAGGGTCGCACCTGTCCACAAGAAGATGCCCACACTCGTCCTCGTGCAGTGTCACACGGACTTGCTCGAGCTGCAACATGTTTGTGGCAAAGTCTTCCACACACTCCGCGATGTCGTTTGCAAAACCATGGTGCACTGCCATGGAGAGAACCCAAGCAACCGCGCGAGACGATGCCATGTTCCCAATGTGAAACATACACGAAACTAGTGACGCTCTGGGGGTTCGAGCTACAATGGCAGCGGTGCAAACGCATTCACACAGAACGCTCCACCGAAGGTCCTCTGCCACCGATACAAAGCAAGGCGTGGCGGCTTGTCCCGTTCTTTTGCTGGCCTTCGAACATGCTGTCGAGGATCCTTAAGAATCAATGCCTGCTGGCATGTATGCACACTCAGTAAGATGTCCGATTCGGTTGCCCGGAAGTACGCACGCACGTGCGTTCAGAACAGCCATGTCCATGGCCGAGTTCTTGATGCCCAGAACGCATTTTACATAATGATGCTTGGCAAAGTCTCTGCTGGTTACGGGCCGGCAGTCGGACGGACCGTGCCAGCCGGCGGCTTTCAGCACCCAAGGGTTCGAGGATCCCGCTGCCGGCATTCCAGCACTACATGCCGTCATAACTGCAATGACTTGGTTGAAGTCCAGCCAATCGGCCAAGATCAGCTCTTCGCTTTTGAAGTGGTAGGTCTGCTGGATCCGTTGGCATGCTTGCTCAGACAGGGAGCTCCAAAGACTTGTATTCTGCATCCAACTTGGATTCAAGCCCTGGTTCTGAAGGAAGCCAAGAGAGAAGCCATACAAGTCATCAAAGAGGTAGTGGTCTGCATCCATGTGCGAGCTGATTTCTTGCCCTTCAAAACGGTACAAGATCGGCAGGCCAGTGTTGATCCCCCGGTAGCTGGCGCCCCTCATGGTAAGAATGGCTTCCTTCGCATCAGCTTCAAAGCGAAGCTGTGGGCCGGTATAGTTCACCCAAAATGCAGTCTGGTTGAAGATGCAATATCCATCTTCTCCCGGATGCTCCTTCATGACTGCGCTCAAAGGCCTGTAGCAGTCTCTCCGGTTCGTGTGGATCCTGCAGTTGTTGCTGCAGGGGTAGTTCGCTGCCGGATCGCAGGTCTCAAGCAGCAAGTGCCCGCACCTGGCCGAGCGGCCTCGGCTCTGATCTTCCAAGGCAGTCTGCATCTGCAGCATGTTTACTTGCCCTAAGGCATCACACACATGTGGCTCTTGGGCATCTTCCGCACACGTGCTGAGCGACAGAAGAGAAAGTACACTGGCGAATCGGGCCATCCTCATGACTCATGAGGCTTCCTCAGAAACATGGATAGCGTGAAACTTCGGTACTGCTTGCCGCTCGAGCCAGAGGCATGCGAGCTCTGACCAGTTTATACTTCAGGAATCGGTTTAGGGAAACAGAGGACACAATGTAGCGAAGCAGAGAGTTCATTACCGTGCCGCAGATTGTCACAGAATGCCAATCTGAAGTCTACATGACCAGACCAAATCTTTTACGTTGGCTGCGGCATTACACTATCACCAGCTACCAACTACCGGTCTCATGATTTCAAAGCGCAAACAGGGCCGGAGTATAAAGGGCGCCGTGGGCTCAACACCTTGCGTTCGCGTAAATTAAGACACGCAATTGACCGATGGTGATCTCAAGGGCCCACAAATCGCATAAGCTTCAGGATCCCCTAAGTAAGTATTCTGGAATGCTATCATACGAGACAGGCGCGATCCCTGTGTCCGTGTGCTAGGTTTCCCGGCATACATGACCAAGCAAACAATAACTGCATCGCACCGATTAGTGCCGTTCATAATGTATAACAGCATGCTTGCTGACTGCATCATATCATGGCGTAGTTTCTCGCAACAGTTAGCGTTCATGAAGTATGCCATGTCTCCACTGCTCCCTACACTGTGAAGTGCATAGGGCCTACCATACTAGCTAGTTTTCCTTACAGACGAATACGTAACACAATTTGATGATGATTCATGAAATGCAACATCCGACACGTGTCCCACATTCGCGACATGCCATGGAACCGTTGCACACGCATTTTTGTATGCGTTTGCAGCAAAGTCGAGCCTCTAAATAGTTGGCATCGGTCACCTCAGCATGTCAGAAGAGAGATGGGCATCTAGGGCTTCGGGTATGGGGCTTTCTCGCTTCTTCTCTGGATGCCAGTCTTGAGTTCCTCGAGATCCTCTTCAACCAGTACTTAGCACTGCAAGTAGACTGCACTGAAGCATGCTGCGAGCAACGCTACGATGCTGGCTGCAATCAGGCAGCACTGGACAGCTGCATCGAAGCCCAGCAAGGATCCTTTGGATGCCTGCCATCGGATGTCTTAAAACTGCACGGCAATTTCTGGCGGGCTTCGTGTTGAGGATCGTTCACAAAGGGGAAAGTTAGCTTTGAGTGCTTTGAGACGGGCCATGCATCCCGCTAGTGCGGCAAAACTCTCGGAGCCCCGAAACCAATGCCACTTACGTCTGCGACAACTGCAACACGTAAACAAAGCCTGAGGAGATGAAAACCTCCAGCTCGGATGGAGAAGTCAAAACGCACGGGATGCTGCTACTAGCATGCAGGAATAGCAACCAGTAGTGAGGTGACTTCTTTCCTGAGCTCCACCCACTTGTGGAGGAGATTGCATGCACTGTGTCGATGGTGAGGTGACAGACGGTCCTTAAGGGGGGAATATTTGTAATCTGGAGGCCCGACTCAACGGCCGGCCCCCTCAAGTTCTGCTTTTGAGAGGTGCCTTGGAAGCTCTCTACTGAAGGGGTCTCGCAGCCCTCTCTACATGACAGGCTCAAGATCAATCTTCAGACTTCAGTGCTGGAGGAAGGCAGTCAGGCACGGAAGGTCTCTTTGAGGACAAACTGAGCTAGATGAGCAGCTACTGACGGGTTGGGATGCTGACACCAAGAACACAAGCTGAAGACGTCGAGCCTTGCTCATGAATCAGATCTCCGCGGCACTAGGCACCACGCGTCCTTCGTCAGGCTGAAAATACAGTGAAAAGCCCTGGGAACCCTGAAAACTTGGAGACAAAGACACGGAGTGATCAAAGCAGGTTAAGCTTTCGCCCGTCCTGTCGTCAGAGCAATTTTGCGCATGTAGACTGGGAAGCCATTAACACCAAATACCGATAGAAACCACCGTCTCCAAAGCTTCTTCGCCTCAACGCCGCCTGCACTTGCGACGCAGGGTCCGTGAAGCTGACAATCGGATCAGCACATAAACTGAGAGTGCAGGCTGGCATTGGCAGGCAGGCTTTGCAGGTTCGTCCTGTCCGCTTTGACAAACCAGAGCAGATTCCTGCACATGCTGCTGTTTCAATGACATTCTGCATCTGCAGGATCCGGGCGTGCCATGCGAAGGCATGCTCAGAATCAGAGCCTTTGTCAATCGACACACATTCTTGGCCCTCAGCGAGCTGAAGCGTCGCCTCACCATTGCCCTCACCATCAAGGCCGGACACGGAATGACGGCCAACGGAGCATCCGGTGCAGCTGCAACTTGGCCGCAGGCTAGAGCTCGAGATGCAAGTGACATGCAGCACAGCATCCGAAAGAACATGTGGACACTGTCATCGACAACACAGGCATGAAGCAATGAGTTAAATCTATGCGAAGATTACAGGACCTCAGAGGAAAGGCTTAGGCAGCCTCCGTCTTCCAAGACGTCTGCGCAAAGAAAGAATGATCAGAGATCTGCAACCTCTATCCAGTCGGCGCAGATCTTCAAGACAGCACGAAAATGCAGTGAGCGCCCAGAGTGTAGCACGTGCAACGCGGGTCTGAGTGCGCTCTAGTCTTGACACACATTCCTGCCTAGGCTGTGTTTGCTACCCGAAGATTCACAACGGATGTCTCGAAGCAGCACTGTAGCAAAAGAGCATCCGGGAATACTATTCCCGCATGGAAGGCAAAACTATATGTCGCTGCGAGGTGCAAACGAGATGCAGGCGCTGCATTCCACAAGAGTGTGCTCGCACAGAGTCCGTCTTGTTTAGGGTTTTAAGGTTTAGGGTTTTAGGGTTTAGGGTTTTAGGGTTTTAGGGTTTAGGGTTTAGGGTTTAGGGGTTTAGGGGTTTAGGGTTTAGGGTCGAGTGACATGGTCGAGAGCTGAAGTCGCAACCACCTGCGAAACCGAGTCATGCTTACACAGAAGCCGGCAGACAGGTGGATAGCTTCGTCATGCAAGAAGCGAAGTCATAGGTTCGTCCGGCTGAAGCCTACGAGGCGCAAGGCATCGTGCTCTGAGAAGCTGTCAGGTGCCGAACACCCTGGTATCGGTGTGACCCGACTCACCTAGACCTAGACCTAGCAAGGCTGGCGTCGGATCGAAGCCGCCGAAATTTGGGTCCGTCGCTCCAGAAACACACAGCAAAGCGGCAATGTTCGTGATTCCCAGACCCCATCCCGGACCGTGAGAGTTGACCCCCCATTCAGGAGGAGACAGCGCCTACCAGCCCAGCTGTATCGCGGCTCTCGGTCGAGGTACTACCTCTGGAGGGTTTGCAGATATTCACTGCACGATCTGCACGAGCTGAAAGAATACTGCCAGCACGTAGGATTTGAGTAAGTGAATCCACGTGAACGTCGCAAGATCCACAACGAACGACCACACGGCGACTCACCACAGCAACGACCTCAACTGGACCACTGCATCTATCAGCGACGTCTGTCTTCTCTCCGGGAGAAGATTGAACCCACCGACCACTGAGCACCCGGCTGCAGGAGCTTTAGGGTTCAGCACTGGGCTTCAGGCATCTTCAGGCGCGGTTGTCGGGCCATCCTCAAGACATGAAGGGACAGCGCCTGTACGAAACCCGAGGAGCATGCAGCAGGGCTCATTTCAGCCTGCATGCTGCTGACGCGGGGTAGATATGTGCAACCACCACATTTGTGAAGCGTGCTCATGATCGGCAGGTGCTCGGGTTACATGACACGTACCCGCCACATCCCCAAAGCACAGCTCCCTGAACTGAAATCACTATATGCAAGGCCACGGAATGAGGCGTAGCATCCTGCTGAAGCCTTCTGCACGCAGCCTGTGGAGCAACTACCTTGCTGCTTGGCCAGCCTATGACACTGAACACATCTGGATACGAGTCAGTTAGCACGAGAAATCGAGGCGGTGGCGCCCACAGCGAAGTATGCATCCACATGATTTGAGGGGGTCTGCTTGTCACACAGCCCACAAAAGTTGCACCGGATGGAAACTACGTATCCAAGATGATATGAATGGATCCACAACTCATTAAGTCCGCCTGCACGTGCGAATGTTCGGTGAGCATGCCGGGCACTTGCTGCATCGGTCTTGACCACATCCGCTCACAAGCCAGCTGTTAGCAGAGAGATGAACACCAACAGACGAACTCCTTGAACGATTCGTCGAACCGACCAGGACAAGAAAGGAATGGCCTACGGCCCAAGGATTGCACGCCAGCTCGCTGCAAGGCCGCGAGCCTCACAAGGCTGCACATGCTAATCCTGCTTATCGAAATCGTGAACATGTTCTGGAAATCTCTGGGGGAAAAGGCGACATGGCTTGTTGCCTGGGCTGCCTGACCTGGAACCACTATCAAGTAACAAGCAATGCTCATGAGACCAATTCGTTCACGGGTGAGCCGTCACTGCTCTATGCTGTCGTTTCCTGACGGCAAGAAGCAACGCATCACAGGGAGGATGTTTAACAGGGGAAGGAAGACGAATTGTAGCTTTGCATCCATGCGAAGGCGGAAAGCCACGTGCTCCGCAGCTGTTCGCTTGAAGCACAGTCCCAACCACGAGCTCCTTGCAAAGAGGAAGCACCTCTGAAGGACGTTGGGCTGGGAAGCATTGCCCATAGTGCAGTCCATACATTGACAAGACGTGGAGCAGAAGCGTGAAGAAACGAAGGGCACCCCTGCAGGGGAACGCTGCCGTCTCAGAGATCCACTTGGCCATTCGCCTGTGGTGTGTCTACCTGGTCGGCAAGTTCCGCAGCCACGGCCATCAATGACAGGATTGGCTACGGCACAATTGTGCAAGAGTCTCTTCCAACCTCAACACAGACTCAACGAGGCAGGGACCGTTTCTAAACAACTCGCGCCGCTGCTTCTTAGTCTTGAGCTTGGCACATATGCTACACTGCGACACTTTCTTGCAGAGAGGCGGTAACGAGGAACAAGAACTGAGCATCTTCTGACAGGCAGAAGGCCCCTTCTCCAAAATGATTTTCTTGCGACACTCTCATGAAACCTTGAGTGGTGTCTGCCTGCACGTTGAGCCTACTTGCA